AAATCCAGCCACAACATTATTGTTGCTGTAAATCAACAGTCGATATTATTATCCATTAAAAGTGTAATCTTAACGATTATACTTTTTCTCACAATTTTTGTCACTTCTTCAAATGTCTGACCATTCTGAATCCTTTAATCACTGGTTCATCGGTATCAATGAGTCCTTCATGCTTTGCATCGTCAATTGCAAGTGAGAAAAAAATATTTTGATGAGAAAAGATTAAATCAAGTTATCAAGAAGTGTGTTTTATGTGTTTTTTTTGTTCAAACAAAATAATAGATTTTGGAACTTTTTTTCTTCTTCTTATCTGATGTTCCACTTGATCGAGTTTAATCAACATGAAATATCAATTTCCTTCCCATGATGCATTTATCAGGTAAAATTAAATGACCGCAAAGTGTGAAAAGATTCAAAATGCCTTTTCTTCTCATGATAAACATTCTGGTCAAGTGATGAGGAAAATGAAGTCAGAGTAAATGATAATGACAATGGAAATGATGAAAGACTAAAAATTCAAGTTTACCTATCAGACCATGAAAAGTGACCATCTTTGGAGATTCATTTTTTCTTCTGTTCAGATTCAACTTGAAACATGAAAGTAAAAAGATGATGCAAAATATCAACAAAAAACAATCTTTTTTTCCAAATATAAATTACTTTTTTTTGGTAAAGGAAAATGGAAGGAAAAAAATGTTGAGAAAATTAAAATAAACTCAATTACTTTGAAATTGACTCAATTTTGTTGACCTTTTCATTGAACATTTTTTTTCTCTCTCATTGTACTTTGGGTGAAAAGAAGCTTCTGAATTCATTTGCTTTTTTTATATTCAAGTTTCAATATTTTTTCTTCAAAATTCAGATTCTCAGATTTTCATCAATTCTCATGAGAATTGTAAAGGAAATTAGACTTTTTAACAATCTGAACAGAAATTTAATAATTGAAATAATGAGCCTTGATGCCTCTCCATGTTTCATGTAATACTCTGAATCGACAGTTTTTTGTTTCTCTAACCTTGACATTGAAAGTCCGTCGTCTTCCTATTCAGCAAAAAGCATGAAAATCATTTGCAATAATTGATAGTTACAATGAAAGTTGATAGTTACAATGAAAGTTGAAAGTTATCTTCAAGTCTAAAGATGAAACCGATTGGAGTTACATTTAATGATTGTTACGCTGTTTAGCGATGCTTTTTAAGAGCTTAGCCACTCAATTTACATAATAGATTAGCTGAAAAGGCATTACATGAGCCTTGGTTAATCGTATAATTAAAAGAAGAGGAAATGTTAAATGATGTTCCTTTGGAGCGAGCCCATAAACACGGCTTTGAGGTCAAGTGGAAGAGTAAGACTTCATTTTTCGGTCAAAACATTCATCACTTTTGGCACGCGTTTTAAGTCAACCTTTTGAAGAGGAGAAGATGATTTTAATATAAATATCAACACGTACAATGGAAGCACAATAAAGTACAATAAAGTGATCTTCAAATGGAGAGTTCACTTTCCATCGATTTGTGTGTGTGTTGCCTGTCTTTCCATTCGCATAATGCAGTACAAATTGATTGTCATGCAACAATAATATTGGACAAGAGAAGAAGAACAAGATTTATCCGAATGATAATTCAGAGGGAAAAGCGTTGAAAGAGCAACTAACCATGGACCTTTTATGTCATTTAACAGAAAAGGTGTTGAGTTTTATCTTCTTTTTTTTCTTCTCTTTCTTCTCTTTCGATTATAACTGTTACTATTATCACAATCAATGGCTTTTTATCAAATTTTGAGCCTCTCTCTCTCTCTCCAACAAGTAACTGCTCTGCGAGAAAAGGCCTCTCCAAAAATGGTCCATTTAAAGCTTCGAACCAAATCAAATTTAATAACAAAATCGTTGAAGCGATTAGTGTTCGAGTTTTGTTTCTTTTTCTTGTTCTCCTTTTCCTTTGCTTAAAATGATTTGGCGCTTCGATAATAAACTCACACAGGGAATGGTTAACAGTAATTGTAATCATAATAGCAATTCTAATGACAATAATGGCTTTCATCGCTATTGTCAACAGCATTGTCCGTCTAGGCCAATAATGATAATGTTTCCAATGATAAGCTTTTATCAAATGACAGAACATTTATTTGTAAATATTATAATTTGATTCTCTTTTCCTTTTCCTTTTCATCTTCTTCATCTTCTTCATCTTCTTCTTTTCTGATTCTGTCCACCTTCTATTTTTGCCTCATTTTTACTCTTCCATTGATCCAATGATAACAGACTAAGTGGACTCTAATTTGATGGTCATTCTGACCTTCTTCTTCATTCCGGAAACAATTGATGCTCATCTTTTCTCCATTGTTTTCATTCGTTCTCTTCGTCCATCTAATTCATCGTTCCTCTTGCTTCTTGTTCATCATTCAACTCAACAAAAGAAACAATTTAAGTGACACAAACAGACATTATCATTGTAACATGATAATAACAACAATAACAGTTTTTTTTCTCCTTCCCTAACTATTCTGTCAGTTGAGTCTTGATAATTCAGAAGAGAAGAGAAAAAGATGATCAAGAATAACATTATTTGCTCATTAATAATGGAACCAATTTCAAAGTTTCCGATTTTCTTGATAATTCAACAGCCAAAATAATTATCACAATCGATATCATTTACCAATTGTTTGCCAACATTTGGTAGCAAAAAAACTTGTTTCCAAAATTACAGTGAACCTAATTTACGATAACATTTCAATGGCAAAACAAGTCGAACCTAAAAATTGAACTAATTGATGTTGATGAATATTTTCCGTGCAAAATTTCAATTCTTTTTCACTTAAAATGACACTTTTTTCCCTCATCTATTTTCGGCACAATTAGCTAACAATAGTTGACTTGGACTTGACCAAAACAAACTTGCCTTTTCAGGTAAAAAAACATTGGCGTGATCAGTGAAAAGTCATTAAAATATTTTTCAATGTTTATCAAATTACGATTGAAATTAATCAAACAAAATTACTCTTGAATTATCTTTTCAAATATGATATTCATTGGAAGGAAAAGAATCAAAGGATCAATTAAATTATCATTATTCAATTTCTTTGTGATGGAAATGCTTTTAATTAAATTGTCTCATTTGGTTCATTTGAAGATTGCAATAGAATCGATTTGACATTGCAAAGTGTAATTTTAATGAAGTGATAGGCGAATTGATTTCGCTGAGTAAATGTGAAAAGGAACGGAAGATGAAAGGAAAAGAGCGAATAATAGTGTTATTATTATCAACACCTTGAAAGGTGATAAATTGAACTCTAATCCGTGAGATGAAATTAACAAAGGATAACGAGATGAAAGGGAATGTTTTTGTTTCCGGTAAAAGGTAACATTGAAAAGGTATTGAGTGGCGAAAGAAAAATAATTAGATGAAAAACAAGGTGGAAAAAGGTTGGATGATGACAAGAAAATAGGTAAATGCCATTAAGCGAGATTATCGTCAATCAAGAGCAAGATCGAGTTGTTAGATTGAACACAAAAATTGCAATTGTTTTTTTTTCACCATTTCAAGTGTTGCTTCAAAATTGTTGAAGTGATTTTGATAATGATCGTAACTGACCAATGTAACTGACCAAAAATCAAACAGTCAACAACTCTTGAAGCATTTATCATCATCTTTTCAACGCAACAAGAAAGAAAGGCAAAAATGATGAAAAGGGAAGATAAAAAGAAGATTAAGAGAAACCTTTGAAAGACTCATTTCTACCGATGGCTTTTTTGGCAGATACAGAATGAACAAAAAAAGGTAATCGTTTTGCTTGGAAGGTTTTCCAAAGAATCGCAACTGTCTTCATTTTTATCCTGAAAAAAGGCTTTTCCTTTAACATCGATTTAGGGAACAATTTAAGGTCATTCTGTAAGTTACAGGGAAACTTGAATCTTTCAACACTTTACCTTTGCTTTTGTAAGCAATATCCAATTCGGAATGAGCCTTGGATCAACCAGTTTACTCTCATCATCATCTTTTCTTCTTTTGCTTTTCTTTAATGTTCTACTAATTGCCAATCAAAATCAACCCACCCTCGTCTTTACTCATCATCATCATCTTCTGCTCCTTTACTTTGTCTACTTGTCTTTCATCTTGAAGACAGCTTCTCTCTTCACTTAAAGACGTTTACTTTTTTCCTCTTCTTCTTCTTCTTCTCTCTTTATTATTCTTTTTCATTCTCAAAATGTTTTTCTCAGGTTAATTCATGGTTCGTAGATTGCTACTGAAAAATGGTATTAATGGTTGAAGAAGAAGAAAAAAAGATGAGAATGAAGATGAAGTGAGAAACGGTGGGGAGGAGGAAGAGGAGGAGGAGGAAGGGGAAAGGTAAGTGGCTGACCCGAAGTGCCCTTCAAATGGTGAAACTTGTTGATTGAATCTCTGCTTTTATATCAATATCAATTGACCGATTCACTGGAAATCACTCAATTGAACCCCATCTTTCACCATTAATCTTTCCCTTCTTTCAAATTATTATTTCAACAAAACTCAATAAACCAATCAACATCTCAATCAACCGCTAATTTGTGTTCATAGGAACCTTCATTTTACACCTGAGAAAAACATGGAAACCAACCTGATAACAATTGTATAACACATTATGTATGCAAGATAATGTTGACTTGTTCAACAAGCACCCGACATGACGATTAATGTTTGTTGCTTGTAGACAATGAAAAATAATTAGACACGCAGGTATCAATTAGCTAAGAATGTGTGTTTTGAAACCTTTAAAAGCGCTTTAATTAAAGTGCAATCGGTATTTCCATTTACCTTTTACTCTTCTTTTCCTCTCTCTCTTCATATTGTTTACCTGGTGATCCCAAGAGATGTACAATAAAAATTATTTGTGGTTTACCCTTTTCTTCATGTTCCTGGAGCAACCTTTTTTTTCTTATGGTGGTCTTAATGATTCGGTGTAGTGTCCGTTCACCACACTAATCCTTTGACCATCAAAGCAATATGGTTAAAGAGCAATAAAACAATTAGTTTGTTTTCAGCTCAAGATTAATTTTTAATCACAAAAATAATATTTATTGTTTGGGACATTGTTTTGTCTCTTGGGATCACAAAGTAAACAATATGAAGGAAACTAGAGTAAAAGGTAAAGGCCGATAGATGGATCAGCTGATGCATTGGCAAGATTATGTAAATACATTTTTCATTGTTTGGATTGTAAAGTTTAATTGTTCAGTTTAAGAGCCATTGGATGTATGTTTTAATGTTAGTTTACGATCATGGTTAGTGCTTCTTTAAGACTGTGTTACAAATTTTTTACAGCTCTGTTGGTAATTACCGGTTTGTGTTACACTCAATACAAATTAAATGTGTTCACCAAGACTCGTGACAATTTACCACCTTTGAACCCAATAAAGTCAAACGTTCATGTTCAATCTTTATTCTTCAAGTACAAGCTAAATTTGTATCTATCAGATTCCTTGTCGTTTGACCGATTTATTGCCGATCACCGAAATCCTAAGTATTTATTAATCTTTAAAATTTGATTGTTTGTCTCTAAAACTTGATTTATTTTATTTTTTCAATAACAGATGTCAGGGAAGAGAGTATCCGCCAAATCTGCCTTCAGTGAGCATAATAATCGTGTTTCATAATGAACCTTGGTCAGTTCTGTTGAGAACAATAAAAAGTCTCATCGATAGATCACCTAAGTATCTCTTGAAGGAAATTTTACTGATTGATGATTTCAGTACATCAAGTAAGTATAATCTTTACCTCGAAAAATGAGTAATCAACCTTTGTTTATTTCGTTTTAGATTCCATCAAATATAACCTCAAAAGCTATCTTAGTGAGACAATTAACGATCCTAGGATAAAATTAACGCGTTTTACATCTCGAATTGGTTTAATCAAGGGCAGAAATTATGGGGCCTCAATTGCAACTGGCAATATCTTAATTTTTCTTGATTCTCATGTTGAAGTCAACATTGGATGGTTGGAACCTCTTGTTTCCAGATTGGCAGAAGATACTAATCGTGTGGTGTCACCTATTGTTGATCTGATCAGTCCATTTGATTTCAGTTATAATCCAGTTCCGGACAATTTCATGAGTGGATTCACATGGAAATTGACTCATTTTATGCAACCTTTACCTTTGAGAGAGCAAAAAAGGAGAAAAGATGATCCAACGATCCCTATAAAGTCAGTTGAAACTATTAATAACAAGTGTTAATCTCGATCATATCGGTATCACTATATTTAAAGCATTTTCAATGAAAATTGCTGCTTAGAAGAACCGCTAATTATTAGCTTTTAATTTTCATCAGTAGATCACCAACAACTTACGGAGGTATATTTGCGATTCATCGTCAATTTTTCTTTAAACTTGGTGGACATGATCCTGATATGTCTTATCTATCGTATGAATCAATCGATTTAAGTCTGTGGGTAAATATTTTTTCATTTTTTCTTTTAATTTTCTCAGATATTAATTATTTTTCAACTCTCTAATTTATCTAAGGTTTGGTGCTGTGGTGGAAACATAGAAATAGTGCCTTGCTCTCGAGTTGGTCACATCCATCGTGATTTACCTTATAATTTTCCGGCCAAAAAAGAATCGATATTCCTATTCAATGCTGGTCGAATCGTGGAAACCTGGTTAAGAAGATATAAAATGTTTTACTATCTCGCCTTTCCTAAAACGGCCAGTATTGACCGTGGTAATACAGTTTGGAGACGATCTCATCAACAGGCGCTGAATTGTAAAAATTTCACTTGGTATCTAACTAATGTTTATCCTGAAACTGGTTTCCCACTTTATTATCAATCAATTGGTCAAATTGAACATACACCTTCAATGCTGTGCTTTGACCTTAGAACAAAAATCAATTCAGACAAAAGTGTTACGCTTAAGCCCTGTCGACTTAACCACAGACCAGATTCTTCATATTATTTGCAAATATTTATTTACACTGGTAATGGAACCATAAGATGTGACAATTGGTGTTTAACTGGATCAAAAGAAATGGAAAAATTGACATTGACTGCATGTGATTACTCGCAATCTCAAATTTGGATTTATTCTGCCAAGAAAAGCCAATTACGCCACAAATCAACCAATCTTTGTGCACATTTGCCAGCTAACAATGATGGACCAATTTTAATTCAATGCAATCATTCATTGCTGGAGCAAAAATTTTTCATCAGGGATAACTTTGATTGGGATGAAGGAAATAGACTTGGTTGAGGAACAAGATTCAACCAAAATATCCCGAATGAAGAGTATCTCAATTATTTAGCTGAAATTATAATTTATTCCAATGGATACTAAACTATACTTATGTGATTCAGAGTATTACAATGTAAAAAATTAATCTAAATTTCTAACTTTAATGATATGATGAGCATGATGGAAGCCATCGTGAGTCATTGAAGAAAACCAAAAGCTACTGGAAAGATCAACCTCATATCTTCAAGTTTTTAGCATAAAATCTTCTGGACCGAATTTTCAGTTCAATTTGATAACCTTGCCACTGGCCATGAGGAAAGGTTACTTTTAATTGGAGCCGCTAATCGTCCCATTAATCACATGAAGCTTCAAGACGGTGGTTTATAGTAGACTTTAAATCAATAGATTAATACAAATCAATTGAAAGCAGATGAAAATGGAGCTAATAAGTAATTCAAAACTTTTCCAATAGGGAAATTATCGCAGCCAGTACTCATTGAGTATATTAACGATGCGAGTGTTTACATATTTTCCCAAGTCTTTGGCGTAAATAAAGTCAATGTGATTCCAATTATCGACAGGAATAGCATAATCGTCCTTAAGTGGTACTGCTCAGTGTTTTTGAAAGAAAGCATAAGAATTTGTTGGTGAAAGTGAAAGCATTTTTCGATCAATAATTGGTAAGGTAATTCAGGAAATAAAACATTGAAAGCAATGATTAAATGGGAAAAAATAATTAAAATTCTTCTACGATAAATTCATCAAACTTTTACACTAACACGTGGTTAAAAATTGTCACAAAAGTTCTTTGGGTTATAACCTGATTGTTTTTTGATCAATTAATTTTATTTTAACTTCTTGAGCTACCTTAAGGTCAGAAGCTTATCCTGGTTTGAAATAATCCTTTGTCATTTGTTTCGTTTACTTTGGATTATAGATGAGTCATGAATTCATAATATTCAGAGTTTTGAGCTTGTTCTTGACTCTGTTGATTAGTTGCTGAGTATTTTGGGTAAGAAATCCCTGAATATTCCTTGATAAACTTAGATTTTAAAGCGACTCCAATATATTTCGATTCAACTAATCATTAAGTTATATTTTATTGCTATTTAATTATAACATTATATGACTGATTACCAAGGAAAATCTGAACTAATTCATTTAATTGTCGATTCGAGAAATATTTTAATATTACTAATGGATTCAATTTCAAACCCTACAAACCCACAAAATCCCAACTCTTAACTCTAAGGTCAAAGTTCTTTTCCTTAGTCCTTTAATGCACTTTTCAAATAAGTATATAATTTTTTAATTAGTCAGGGGAAGAAGAAAAGTAGAGCTGAGATGATTAGTGCTTAGAATGAAGCAGATTATGAATGGAGTGATTACTGATTCAGTAATACTGAGGTAGCTTAGCGCCATCTAATGATGAATAGAGTAACCGTCTCAGCTCTAAAGAAAAGTAACTGATGGTTACTATAACCGGTTACTTTTACTGGCTACAAAGTAACCATTTACGCTACGGTATCATTAAGAGGGAAATTCAAAAAGAAAGACAGGAAAGTAAAAAAAAATTTCTAAATAAGTAAGTTAGCTGGTGTCGGTTTAATAGCTGAAATAAAAGCTTATAACAAAAAAAACCAGATTTCAACTTAATTTTCATTAAGAAACGCACTTTTACAAAAGTTACAGGGTTTCCTATCGAAACTACCAGGCTAGCGCGCAGATCGTTTTTTAAAAAGTCAATAAAAAATTATAATCCTATGAGAAAATTTACATTGAGAAATCGAAATTTTCAATCCTCCCATGGACGCGATATGTTGAAATAAAATACTTTTTTCATCGACTTTAATAAAACGATGTGTACGCTATCTGTGTGTCCCAAAACTACGATTTTAGTACCAAATAGAAGACAAAAGACTGAATTAGACTTTATAAAAATCGCAATCTGACATGTCATTTCATTTTCAAAGCGTTTCATATATTATTTGTAACCTGGTAGATTGGGTAGGAAACCCTTTGACCCTTCTGTAAAAGTACGTATTAGCAGCTAAAAAAGGACACTTTTATCATCAAATTGTATTCAAGTTTTGCATTAAATGTACTTAAAGTTATTCAGTAAATAATTCACTAACAGACCAACAGATGACACTAATTAGATGAAAACCCAAAGAGAGCTCCTCTTTGTGAAAACCTGAATTTTTATTTTTGAATTCAGCGGTAAAAATACGTAACCAAAAAGTAATCGTTTACCTTCTAACTGGAAGAAAATGACTTCGAGCTTGAGCGACGGTACAAACCAAATAGTGAGTAACCAACGCACCTCTTACTGACAATATTAAGATTGATACACTATTAACCAATAACTATTAATGCAACAATCAGTACTCATTAGATAATCACAAAAGTCTTAGCCGTTTCTATTTTGACTGTTCGGAATAATTTCTAGATTTGGTTAAGAAACCGCTGAATAAAGAATAGGCAATGAACATGGAATAACATGGAAGAGACCGAAGACCTATGTGGTTAATAATAATAATTAACGAAGTATTACCTTTGAGTCTACTTTTCAGTAATTCAACATCTTTCCGATCAGCCAGCCAATCTCCAAGTCCATAAAATAATGCGATATCCTGAGAGTCTATCATGTCAATAGGATAATCTGGTGGAAATGTCTAGATTGAGAAAAGGTCGATTAAAATTTTCGAGTTTCACAATTGACGATTGAAAAACCAACCTGACCATATCGAGCTAAATTACCCTCTTTACCGAAATCCATTTTACAAAATCTTCCTGACTTAACCATTTGTAGGTAATGAGCAATGGCCCAATTAGATGTTCCTGCTGGTGTGTGTTTAAAGTAAACCTGCAATCTAGTTTGATTCATTTCTCGAACATCGTAGCCGGTAATTAAAAAGATGATATTGAGACAAACCAAGTCAATCTTAGAATGGCAGAAAGTTCTTGCTATGAATTGAAATGTAGAATCGGAAATAACAAAAGGACCACCTTTAGATCTTTAAATGTAAAAAGATGATTAGAAGAGTTGAAAAGGTGATTTCAATTTCAAAAGCTAACCTCAAATAGTCTTTCAACATCGGCGTATCAGATGCAACTCGAACCAAGGCTGATTTGGTGTAAGAAATTGTAGTTACCGGAGCAAGAGCAATGAATGGTTTAATTATCGATGAATATGAGGTATTGGTTGATAAAAGACCAAACATTTGGGTGGTTCCTTGAGAGAATCCAATGTAACTCAATTTCTCTGGAATGAATACGAAAATAGATTATTGTTGAGCAATAAGATCTGGTGATTTGTAGTTTAAAACAACTGAAATCTGAAGTCTTATCATATGACAGATAAATCCTGAAGATGTTTTCGCTTTCATTGAAACTTATATTTTCCTCTGTAATAGACTGTAATTAGCTAACTTACTGTAACCGGTTGTCTTCAATATGTAATTGATAAAAGCAGGTAAATCATATTTAGACATTTCATCAAATGAAAATTTCCAGAAATTTTCATCATTGGACGATAAATGTAAATGATCCATTGAATAGACATTTCCTCTTGAATTGGACAGCCAAACATCATAGCAAAGTGAGGATAAAACAAAACCTAAATTGTTTCCAACTGATGTGTTGAATTGTTGACGTACAAATGATCGATACTTATATGGATTGAAATGATGATTATTGTAGTCAGTGAAATCTTTTAGACAACCTCCAGGTGAGTTTATCAAAAAATCGACTGATGATGAAAGTAAACCATGCTGCAATAGAACTGGTTCTCCCTTTGAACATAAAGGATTTACTATTCGGTGTACTGTTAACTGGTAATTGTCTTCGGTGGTTACTGTATGAACTTGAGCGATAAAACCTCTAGATTCAATTAGTTCAACAGCGGATCGATTCAAATCTGGATCATCGGAACAAGTTGAAATATGAAACAATAAAATGCAAAACAGACAAAATAAACACAATCTAAGGTCCATTGAATTTTCTGGTTTTAATGATTCAAGACTTAATAGCAATGGGAACTGAGAAAATATTCAAGTAAATGTTGAAAGGTTTTTACACTCAAGATCATTTACCAATACAATTGTAAATCATTTTACTTATTTATCTTTCATCATTAAGATCTCAACGGTTATCCGTTTTTGATATCAATGAGGTGATTCTTGTGCTAAGTAAACAAAACAGATATATTAAGAGTGTTCAACAGATACAGATTTTTCAATTGAATCAATAATATTTCAAGCATACAAAATACATAAATACACTGACAATTTGGATTGTCACCAGCAGCATAATTAGTTCAACATGATTTGTTCATTGTATCACCGGGAAATCACTTGAAGGGCTGTTAGTTTTGTACGGCAAAGGTTCAAAAGAGATGCCTAAATCTCATTTTAACTGAATAGTTTGGATACAATTTGCAAATTAGCAGCATTAGCTGATGGACATATTACCTAGTCGGTTGCTGGCTAAACCAATTTTTTGATGAGACCAGGATTAGTCTAGAAAATAATGATTGAAATAATGTTTTGATGGCCAGTTGGTCAAATGATAGGTAACTCTGAAAAGCTATTTTTTATTAACAACAATTTACTGTTTACTTTTACATTAAAACAAGTTCAATATTTTGGTAAAGTTTCTTAACCTTTGAAATTTTGATCCAAAGTTTATATAATTGTAAATAATAAATAAGAGTCAACAATTTACCTTGAAACTGGCCTTAAAGTTTAATGTTGATGTAAACTTGATGTGGCCTTTTCAGCCAACAGAAAGGGAAAAGGTTTCACCATTAATTGTTTAAACAATTATTTTTCACATTGATCCAAACAATTAGAGAAAGTATTCATTAACCAAGACAATTAGTGAATAGTTAATAAGCAATAGCTACTGTAAGATGTCAAAATGATCAAGGGAATTCCTGTAGCTATTGAAATTAGCAGCTGAAGGTTTTTAAGAAATGTCAAGACACAAAGATACCAGAAAAGTGAAGCAAAACAGTTTCAAATGATGGTGAATTAAAAATCAATTCATCAGTGATAGTTTCATGGTTAACTAATTTATTAACTTGATTATGATTACAACTAGATCATTTGATCAGTAATTAGCTATTTAAAACATGAGCCAAAAAAAGATTTAAGTTAAGGTTGAAGGATGAACGATGGGTGAACAATAAGGAAACCCAAACCTATTATTTTAATAGATTTAGGATTTAACCAGAATTAAATTTAGACAATCAAATTACACTGTTAACCATATCATCTTTAATTGGTCATATAATGATCAGTTAAGCCTTGACAATACAATAATTGTAGAGTCTGCGCTTCAATCCAAGTCTATTAATGTATTTGGCGATCGATTTTTTAAGTCTAGGTGGATCAAAATTAAATTATACTTTGGGTTGAATAAATGGATGGAAATGATTCTGAGTCAATTCTGGTTCTCCTTCCTGATATTACATGCTATTATGAATGTCCATGAAAAAACAAAAGTAAGGTTCAAGACTAACATTGAAATGGATGGGACGAGAAAGAAATGATGAGAAACCCTTAAATTATCATTAATGTTGCTTGAAAACCTTTTGTTGGTCATTTCAACTTACAGTGTAACCCAGTTTAGCTGTGTCAATATAAAAACAATCAACAAATTGTAAATGATTTGAAAATTGAATCAATAATGAATCACTTTTCATTAGAAATGTACATTTCTACTTCAATCACCTGATCCTGATTCATGTTAACATCAATCACACAGTTACCCATTTTACCGGTTTAACCAATAATCCATCGATCTGGTTACTTTTACCCAAAGTAAGTATGCTTTACTTCAATTTGGTTAGCTAAACCTTTAAACCAGATAATTCACAGTTTTAGTAAATAAATCAGTTGATTGCATGTTCAACAGATTTTTTGTAATAGCTTCAGGAAATCTGATATAAACATTTGGTTTGAGCTTTCGATGATTTCAAAATTACTAAATGTACGTCAATTGATAGTTGATTGAGTTGAAAATTTGTCTTCATGTTAATCAAGGCCAATCAATGAACCAGGTTAGACTATTTACAGATTCAATCAATTTTTACCCAAATTCTTGGTTTGTTTACATTTTCCAATGTTTACAAATGAAATATTGTGAAACTAATCATTTCACAAAAACCGGTTTTAATAATTAACGGCAAGATACCTGAACAATTTAGCTTATTAATGCAAGACTATCGCAGGTTCATCTTTGAATGGTTAAAGATGAATATGTTTCCAGAGTCAATTGTCAACTTTCACATTGATTAACCATTGTTAATCGATGTAAGAGTCAATTGATTAACCATTAGCCTGGAACTAAAATTTTCAAGGAAAATTGCTTGTTTTTGAATAAATCAAATCAAATCTCGCATTCATTGAATAGTTTCACAATTAAGAAGAGTTAAAAGCCTTGAACAATTTACTGTGAACAAAATAATTATCACTGATTTTTAATAACATCTTACGTTAATCAAATGATCATGAATAATGATCATTTTAAACATTTATGCAACTGAATTAGATCATATTTGATAACCTTTCCGAGCAAAGTGTAAGTTGAATTGTTATTGATGATGACATTTGATAAATTTAAATCTCAATTGATTCAATTGAATGTAATATTGTTGGAATCAACTGTTTCAATTCATAGCAAGGTCACAATTTTCAAAGGTCTTCAAACTTTGGGTTAAAGTTGCAGTTTTTTTGGTTAAATTGTTCATCTGAACCGGATCAGGTTAGATATTAATGGAAAGTTTCACTTTACTTGCCTCCAGAATTGAGTAATTACTTTGGCCAACCATTTGATTGACCATGAAATTAAATCAACTCAGTGTTTCCCAACCTCTATATTTGCAAATCTGATCAATTTTCAAGATGTAAACAAGCTAATGTTCATTTGATTGGCCTTGATATTTAAAAATGAACAATTTCAATCATTTATTTACATTTTTTTTCACTTACTTTGAGCATTAAAATCTTGATCGATCAACGTTTTATTTTAATATGATCAATCCTGAATGGTTGACATTTTGATTCCGGTTGATGAATGACAATTAAGATGGACAAACTAGTGATTATAATCGTAACCAAAGCCCAAGATTTAAACTTTACATGTTCCAACCCCAGCCATTGCTGTAAGTGAGTGTTTAGCTGCTAGAGGAAATAGATATAAAAATAAAGCTATTTAAGGCAATTTCTAGTTAGTTTATAATTAACAGTTGACCATTAATGGACTATTCATTGGTGTTGTTGTTATAACAAAAAATTATAATTTCTTGCTGTTTACTGTTTCAATTTGTTTTACTTGGTTGTTTTAGCTGATGATCAGACGATTTTTACCAGAGACAAAGGAGTGAACTAATCAGTCATACCAACACATGTAACTTCCTATGGTTTTTACATTACATTTTTGCTGTTTCTGTATCTTGTCTGCCTAGTTAATTGTTAATTTAATTTGTTAACTATCATTTAATTTATAATTTCCCTTTCTATTTTACTTTCTTCTTTTCCCCTTCCCTTATTCTAGGAACCAGTTTACACTTAAAAACATCATCACATTAACTTGCATTGGAAACTTTGAGCATTAGCATTAAATTTTTATTTCTTCAGCGGTTGTTTTTTTAAACGAACATCACTTCCAAGTCAACCTCCATCGAAACCACATCTAATTAGTGACTTACTATAAACCCTCTGTGATACACCTAATCTCTGTATACTGTTTAGTGTTGCCTGTTATAACTGTTTATTTGTTGTTGTGTTTTTTTATCACAGAACATGACCAGCTCAACACAGGTAGCAATGGAGATAACGAGCGAGGAAAAGGAAGCAATTGAAACAATCAGGAATCGTATTATGGAGGAATCTTCAACTGATCCGGATGCATTTGATGAATGTGACTTGAAGCGAATCCGTGATGATGCCTATGTTAAGAGATTTCTCGATGAAAGATATGGCAAAGTTAAAGACGCCATTAAAATGTTATCCGATTGTCTTCGCTGGCGTAAATCTTTTGGTGTGAACACAATGACTCGTGATGATTTTCCGAAGGAAATTTTTCAAGTTGGCGAATTACATGAGTTTTATAAGGATAAAAACAACATTACAACGTTATATTTACGAATTGAAAGACATCGAGCTCTTTCTGGCTGGATGCCAATGATTAAACGGTACATTGTGTTTATGATTGAACGAGCTGAACGTCAAGCAGCTCGCAACGGGCATGGTATTGGTTTGGTTGTTGATGCCAGAAGAGGATCTATTTCTCATGTGGAAATTGAATTGGACTTTTTTGCCGTTAAAGCTATTCTCAATTACTACCCAGGCTCTCTACAATATCTAGCAGTTTACGAGATTCCCTGGCTTCTTATGGCTATCCTCAAGTTGGTTAAATCATGGTTTCCCCCTCAATATCAGAATAAATTTCATTTTCTGAATCCGAACAACATCGACGACTTCCTCGGATTGGACAATGTTCCTGATTACATGGGAGGTAAAAAAGCAATGTTATGGCCTGAAGAAGTATTCATATCACCATCAACTGCTGAACTGGAAGAACGAGGCGTTTTACCAAAAGGATCAACAAATCTTGTTAAAACTTCTTACGCTTCAGCATTGCAAGATTTCTACGATTGTAAAGATAAACAGGTATTGAAAACAATCAAAGATGGAGATGAAGAAATTCAAATCGTCAAGAATGGCGAAGACAGTTTAAAAGAAATCGTTCCAAAAACAAACCAAGCAATCAGCAATCCAAGTACCGGGGAAATTTTGGTTACATCTTAACCAAAAGGCAATAATCTGCAGTTATATTTTCAAGCTTATCCATTATTAACTATTATTATTTCTATTACATATTTTTATGCTATCAACATTATAACTGGACAATTGCATTTGCATAGATATTTTTATACTATCTTAATCGTTACTTATACCATTATACTTGGTATTTTCAATGATTGTTTTTAATATCATTATTCAAAGACAAACCCTAAATCGGTTCATCAATTTTATATTGTCTAAGAAAACACTTGACCGTTAATATGATACTTGGACATCTATTTTGACAACCATTGAATATAACATTGTTTTTTAACTTTCAATTGAACGGAGCTTTGCTTAGACAAATTGTATTTTGATTATCTTTATGACAAAACAATAAACTGTAACAATTTCAGAATCTAAATATTGACTTATATTTCTTGAAAACCTTAAGAGCATCAAAACAAGGTAAATTATTAAACTTTGTATGTCTATGTATTTTGAAGTGAAGCACAACTTCAAATGATGTTAAGAATTGGTGATCCAAATAGACCCGGTCAGTTTCTGATGAATCATGTAACAAGCCATGATTAGAGGAAGATGACAATAGGAAGGAATTAAAATTAATAAATGATTGAGCGGAAGCTAAATAGGTTTCCAATGAATTGACAGAAACACGTTACAATTAACTTTCCGCTTTGCTCTTGCAAGTTGATGATCTATGATTTCCTTATCATCAGAGTCAAATGGAAAATTATTTACCAAGTTGACCAGTAAATCATCAACATCATCTTCTTCATTGATAATCTCATATTTTATGGTTGACTTTTGTGTACATTCATTGAGTAAATCAATTTTGTATAAAGACAGATCAGTCAAGACGGTTGATTAAAATTCAATTGGGTCGTCAGGAAGATAAAAAAGAGTTGATGAAGACGAACAAAGAGTGATGATAAGTTTGTTTTGTGATCAAATCAAAAAGATAACCAGAGTAAATCAATTGTCCAACAAAATAACCAAACTTGATCAAATGTTCATCTTTCTTTATATTCAACCGATTGCCTGTTAAATCTTAATTAATTGAAAAACTTGTATTCTTTCTAACATAATCATCTTTATAACCAATATGAAATATATCATCATATCAGCAGTTGTATTGACAACAATCATCATATCAGCCACAATAGGTAAGTTTTAATGACAGAATCATTTGTGCCTGTGTTCAATTGCAATCAAAGCCCAACCAGAGACTAACTAATGTCAACAACCCAGTTTTAGGTAAATGTATAAATGGAAAAGATCAAACTGATTGGGCCAAACAAATGGTCGGTAAAATGGGTTTCGATGATACCAAACCAGTTCGTTTGCCGAGAAGACTTCTTGGTGATGTGTATTTAAAACGAGGCTTTATTCACGGCATGGAATCGGTCAAATTATCTCAAGAACCTGTCCTGTTAATTTGTCACAATGAATCAATAGGAGCCATTCAATTGAAACTTGTCGTTGAAAATGTAACCTTTAATTATGACTGGGTTTACGGTGATGATGAAAGCTGGGGAATAGCAAAAACACCGCCACAGCGAATGTATATTGATATTGATATTGAACAGGTAAGATTTTGATTGTTGACTTTTTATAACTGATCAGATTAATTTAATTTTGTATTATCCAATTCCCATAACTGTTTAGTCTGATGAATCAAAGAAACCAGTGATGCTCGGTATGTACATAACTAAAATAACGAATACCAAGTTTTCGGTTGAAGTCAATGGAAGTAAAGATCGCATGTCTGATGCTTTTGACCATCGATATCAAGTCGCTTTGGTTACACGGACTTTTATTGCTCGTGATGCTGGCCTGGCAATTACAATGGAAGTTTCTCCAAAAGTTACTGATTTTCTCTTCTACAATAAACTTGAAATTTAATAACTATCAAGATTATTAAGGTTAACCAGATTGACACACGTTAAAGTGAATTGATCAACCTTTTTCAAGCATCCATTGTGAGAATAAAGAAAGTGCTTTGGTTTTATCATTGATTGTTGTATTATTGAAACATTGCTTTTTGATAAACGAATCAAGAAAAATATGAAAATTGAAAACATTTTTGTGAAGGTAAAATAAACAAGATTGTTTTACGGATTTGCGTTTCTTTTCATCTCTAAGTTGTTAATGATTCTTATGTATTCGCCAATTGGTTTAAATTGAATCGGGTTTAGTTATTTCTTTTTTTTTTGTTTGTTTACTTTTTTACGTTTACATCATTTTGGTAGAGTAAATGTATTTACAGGTATTGACAGTGTGCTCTATATAAATACTATTTACAACAAAAGTAATTAAGTTTTGGTTAAACACAACACTGCTGATTGTGAGTGTTACATTTGTTTGTTTGTTTCTTGTGAAAAACATTCAATCAAGAATAAAATGATTACAAAGAAAAAGGAGACTTTAGAAAGTTGAAGTTTCCAGAAGAAAGGAGGAAATTATGGACAAGTTTTTAGGGAAATATGAAGAAAAATATCCGAATGTAACAGGATTTGATAATTGTAAGTGATGACAGCGATTTTAGTTATCATATCAGTATTATCACCATCATTTAAATCGTCGACGCAGTCGATTTTGCACATTAATTAAAAATGCTTGTTGAAAATGAGTTGTGAATCTGAAGGATGATAGAATTAAAAATAATTCTCGATGTAATGCTGATTAACACCATTTGTTAAATCAAAGGGCGAACAATATGAAGAATGATGATCAATTATATAAATGATCGGCGTTTAAATCCAATCGAATCACAGTGATTCAAAAACATGATAAAAAGTATGAACAGCAAAAATTGGTTCAGCCAAATTGAAGCTGATTTGAGTGCTTTGGTATCTTCTTAATTCAAAGAGTATTTTCCTTCCAATTCCAGAAGTTTATTCAGTGGTTTGCGTCTCTCGTGTTTTTATTTTTTTTCTGCCTTTCCAGTTATCAAGTACGATGATACCTAACATCAATCTCGAGATATGCTCAATTTAAAAATTGATAAAATGCTTTTTGACAAACTTTTGATAATGTTGGTCAAATTATGTGAATACCTTCATCAAGGTGATTGCGATATTTTCAGCTCAACACAATTAAACTGTTTCATGGTTAACAGTAATTTTGTTCCACTTCTTTCATTCATAATGAGAGAATATTCAGTAGAAAGAAAATTTGATAACACTAATAAATTATATCCTATCATAAGCTCATAGTCAATAACGATTGAACTTTTTACACCTCTGATAATCAACAGTAAAAAGAATGATAAAAAAGTAATGAATGGCGACAAGAAGTGAAAAAATAAACAATAACACCACTTTTAAATTATTAAACTCATTCACTAGGGTTAGGTAACTGCTGAGGAGAGGCTAATAAAATTGGTTGAATGGTTGAAGTTGAAGGTATTACAATTTGCGCTTGTGTCGCAGATCCATGAGGAGATTGATTGGTTGTAATGATGCGAGCAACAACGTGGTGAGGTGGCACAACACCGGGAGTTTGAGATGAATTATTTGGTCCCAATAAGGAAGAGGAACCAGTAGCTCTTTGAACAGGAATTCCAGTTGTTACAGGAATAACTCTGATACCTTGCAAAGTTCGCACGGCCAGGGAAGTTGTTGATGCATTGGTTACACCAGTAGTAGAACCAGAGACATTGGTCGTCGTTTGCATAGTATTTGCACCACTGACTTGTGGATGTAAAACAATTGAACCGCCACTTGTTGCCATCATATATGATTTACCGCCAGGAGTTGCTAAATAAATAATAGTTAAAATAAAGTTAGTTTTATCATCTAATAAGGAAAATTATGAATATAAATCAATTCAACAGGAGACTTACCTAGTACAACAGAACCTGGTCTTGCACCAAATAGCATACTAGTAGGTATACTAATTTGGGTAGGAGTTGATAAATTAGTTGATGAGCCACCTTGAATTTGAATCTGCTTAGGCAAAGTTATTTGAGTTGGATTAGTTTTATTTACTTGTTTACCATCAGCGGATGCCAAACTGATGTTTTGGTTATGAATCTGAATTTGTTGTGGTTTAGCTGTTTGTTGAGCTTGCAACGGCTTCGAAATGGTGATTTGTTGTGACTGAGTTGTTGCCGCGATTGAAGCAGGCTGTAAGGTGATAATTTGTTGTGCTAAAGACTGAGTTTGTATTTGATGATGTTTGGTTGTAGTGAGTTTAGTAACTGGTTGTTTATCTGACTGATGTTGCTGTTGAAATTGTGACTGAATAGGAGCGGGAAGGATTGGTTTCAAAATTTGATGTTGCCCTCCTGAAGCTGCTTGTTGTTGGCTTGAGGATTGTATGGTTTGTGTAACAGGTTGTTTAGGCTCAAATGGATTCAAGATCGATTTACCAAAAATTGTTTGACCAGGAGTTGAAGGGAAAATAATTTGCTGAGTATCTGATTGACTTGATCCTAGTTTAGGTGCAATGGGTTTTGTTGCAGACGAAGTAATTGTTATATTACTAGGAAGGCTAGAAGTTGTTTTAGTTGTTAGACTAAGGAAGTGTTGAACATTATCAATATTTTTAGCAGTATTCGCCACAGAAGAGGAAATTATTGAAGTAACTTTCATTGTTGAGTTGACAGATTTAGCAGGTCTTATTTGTTTAACTTGAGATCCTGACTCACTTGAAATTAATGATGTAAATGTATCTTGACTGGGTGATGCAAGAGCCGTATGACTTGGAATGATCTTTTCAAATCCCCGCAGAGGTTGACTTGATGCTGGCATCGGAGCAATGGTCATTGTTCCACTAGAATAACTAATTGGTTTAGCAGTTATATTAGATGAAACCGAAGTTGACTCAACTTGCTCAGGTTCTTTTTTAACAGGTTTTAACCTTTGTGCTTTTTTCTTCAAGGTGGACGTGCCGACTGAAAGACGTTGCAAACTTGACGAGCTTAAATTTATATTTGGTAAAGTAGTGGTAGTTGGGGTATTGGATGAGGAAGTAGAAGTAGTAAGAGTAGAAATAGGATTTGAATTAAGTGTAATGCCAGACGATGTAGTTAAAGATAAATTTGGAATAATTGAATTAAAGTTGGTTGAACTAGGTGAAGGTAGGGATGAAGCTTTGAGTGGAGTGCTCCTAGAAAGGAATGAGATTGGTTGTTGATTGCTAGATGATACTAATGAAAATGTTGACGTTGTTGTTGATGTTTGTATCGATGCAGGTATTGATGTTGGCATTGATGCAGGTACTGATGTAGACATTGTTGTTGATACTGTTGTTGGTATTGATACAGATGTAGATACGGGTGTAGGTACTGCTAGTGACACTGATGAAGTCAGTGGAGGTTTTTGTTGTTGAGTTGGTTGAATTGACGAGGAGGTCAAAACAGTAGACGTGTTTGTATTAGATTGAGATTCACCAGTTTTGGTTAATGAACCGAGGGCGGATTTGTTTACTTTGGCACTGGGCTGTTTACCAGAGAAATTTGTGACATTTATACGAGAAAAATTTCCAATGGTAGTTGAAATGGAAGGAGTTTGAGTTATAGACGAGGAACAAATTTTTCTTTGACTTTTAGTAAAGCTTCTCTTGGCTTTTGCAGCCTGGACTTGGATTCCATGAAGCGTTTCAAATTCCGTCTCAGTTCTGTTGCGATGAAGATATATCCATACTTTACGATTTACATCATATTTAACGCAAGGATCTTTTTCATAGTGCAACCTATCTAAAGCTCCACTGACAATAGCATTGACTTGTTGGTCGGAAACAGTTGGCAATAAATATTGAGAATCTTTGAGCAACTCACAGATATCAGCTCGAGTTCCCTCACCATTTGGAAGGCGAGCCGCAGCATCTCTTACTAGACTAAGAAGTGTTACAAAAGGTGGTCTATCCTTCACTAAAAGTGAATGTTCACGTGCTTTATTGGGACTAGCAGCGTGAGGTGATGCACTTCCGATTCCACATCCTTTGACTGGTCCAACAACACTGTTATACCCATGTATTGTGAATGTAAAAGCTTTGTGAGGTTTCTTGTACCTCAAATCTTCTTGATCACGATAAATTTTCTTTTCTTCTTCAGTAGAAGGTCTCACAGTCCAATTAGTCGGACAAATAGCTGGTGGAACAGGCTGAGAAGGATCCATTAAACTGGTCGTTTTCTTCTTGTCCTTTTCTTCCAACCAATCATTACACAATGGAATCAAAATATCATCTGAATCTCTATTAACACCTATCCATTGCCATAACTGATTTTTCTCTTTATAGTCGACTAACGGAATCATATCAGGAGGAGGAAAAACTTCACTCAAATAATTCATGGCAGATTGAACCATTTCATAGCTCCAACTGACTTTCGAATCCAAAAGACGTAATTTTTCTTTGACTAATTCTTCTAATTTGTGCAAAGTCAATTTTCGATCATTTGAAGCACTTATATAAAATATATCTCGAATAAGAGAGAAAAATGATGCTGGGAGGGCTTCACCTGTAGACTTAGAAGTTGATAAGATAGTTTGGTCAGCTATTGGAGTTAATTGTGATTTTGACTGATGTGGATGCTGCTGTTGCACATAGGTTGCCATTGTTGCGGGTATAGTCGTTGCTGTTGTCACTGCTTGTGCTGTTGCTGGTATTAATAAAGGTGTAGTAGTAGAAGTTACTGTTGCTAAAGTAGTTGCAATTGCTGTTACTGCTGATGCTATTGTTGTCGCTAAAATCGTGTTGGTATTGATCGGTGTATCGTTAATGCTATTAGAAACTATTGATGCTACATTTGGAAGAGAAGTACTGATGTGTGGCGAATGAGGCTGCGATATGAGAGATGAGAAAGATGTCGCAGGAATTGGATTAGAAGTTGTTGAAGAAGAAAGTGAAAGCGGTGGTAAAGGAAATGAATGTGGTGGTGAATCATTATCGAAGTCAAAAATATCCAATGGCTCTCTTTTAATGGAATTGACGTTTAGAATTGTTGTGCTTTGGCTCTTCTTTGGTGGTGAAAGACTCTCGAAGTTGCTTAAAAGGGATTGAGACGAGCCTAGGCCTGTTTGACATGAAGTTGACATTTGGAGTGACAATTGACGGGAAAGCAGAGGCGCCGAAGATAAGTTAGGTAATAAAGAAACTATCCTATTTACTGGAACGGAAGATGACAAAGAAGTGGATACTGTAGAAGGTGTGACAATTGATGGAGATGACAATGATAACGAAGATGTTGCAGATGAGGATGGTTTAGATTTTTTACGATTGATTGATGTTAAAGTTGTTGCCGAAGTTGATGTTGTATTTAATGGTAGCGATGACGTTGAATTGCAAAGTAATTTAGGACTCTTTGGAGTGAAAGGAGAAGTTGATTTTAAATCACCGGCGATCAAGCCTTTCTCACAAATATCATCTCCTGAGTCATTTGCAACTCGGGAAATTATATCACTTAACGTAATATTGCTGAAATCCATAACGGGATCATCACTCTCATTATTTTGCAGTGCTTTTCTTTTTCTCCTGAAATTTTTCATCGTGCTGAGATATTCATCGCGAGAAGAGGTAATATCACAATACGCTTTAAGAGGACCAGTCTTATTAATTGAGTCATCATGAAGAGCTTTTGTACGCAAAGGCTTGACATCTGTAAAAGTTAGAAATAGAAAATTATAATAAATTTTAAAGAGTTTGCAAGAAAATAACCAGCTTCATGAAGGAATCAAGCTACAAAAAGACCTTTACAAGATATAATGAAGCAATGATCATAATTTTTTTAAACTGAAAACATCTACCATAATTTTGAACTGCTAGAAATTTAGCGTTTTTTAAGTCTTTCACTAAATTAATGGCATTATAGATACAGTAAATAAACATCAACAAAGAACTGCCTGAAACAAAGAACTTATGGAAATTCTACGGGCCTGGATGAAAATATCTGTTTTATGATAACAATCTGAGCAATATGCATAAATTTAGGCGATAAATTTAACAAATTCATTTGTATTAGAGATTCTCTTTCTAGCTGGATTCTGAAGATGGTCAATTTCATACCTAGTTCCAGATCACTATCGTCGTCAGAAGTAACAAGATCTTCTGGGAATAATCTTTTAATTTCCATTTTATATCTTTCCTTGACTTTGCGAGCTCTGAGGAGTAATTTTCTCCTCTTACGAAGACTGAGGTTGCCATTTTTGGGAATTAATTTACTTTTGACTTTCTGATATGTGACAGGACTTATTCCATAGGGTGATGAATTGGCGGCTGCTTCGAAGAGTATCCGACGTTTGGTTAAAATTTCTGTAAGCAATTTACATTGGTATTTTTGTTCCTGGATTAAATAAGCTCGCCTTTTAAGTCTATTGACTTCATCATAAGTTCGCAAGAGATCAGGAGAGGTACGTTGAAGTTTAAGTTGAAAATAGATATAATCTAATGGATTGTCATCAAACCGTTTCAACTGACCATTGAACAATAACCTAATGGTATCCTCTTTCTCTTGAGCATCGAAAGAATTGGGTAAACATTTATCAAGAATCTCACATTTCTTAGAGTCACCAACCATGGACCACAAATCATTATCACCAATTATACTGTCAAACAGGCTCTTGTCAGACAGTATTTCAATTGGTATTTGGTTGATAGAGGTGACAAGAGTAGAGATCAAAGAACCTGAACCGGACGTTGATGATGAGGATAAACCAGTGTTATTGTTCATCACTCCGGAAAACCAGGAAAGTGAAGAATTTTTTTTTATCACAATTAACTAAATAAATCACTTTAATTTAATTAAAAACCTTAACCATGATGATAAACATGCAATTAATCGAGACCAAAATCTTTTATTTCAAATAAAAACAGGGGTCGTATAATAATTGCATCTATAACACAATAATGTAGATACCAGCCAAAGATATAACCCGCGCTATAATTGGGCGCCATTTGACCGCAGGTCACCTGAAAACTTCTAATACAATCCAAGATATTTTATCAATCAAAAATTAGGGCAAATGTTCAATTATCGTCCAGATTCATCAGCTTCAGATGATACAATCATTTATCTCCTTTTAAATCGATATTTGTTTTGATTTGACATTACATTTTTTTGTAAATTCTCATCTTTTTGATTTTATCTAATTTAGTGTAAATTATTTATATTCTTACTTTAATATGATCATGAGAATTATCCGAATATCTTTTTCAATTCAATGTTCAAGCAAATAATTCGTGGCATTTGAATAAGTGCAACAGTAATAATTTTTGAACATATGATCCTCAAGCATGTGGAATTGCCTTTGTTTGACTTTTGAATTTATTCAATAACTCTTTTTTTGCGGAAATTAAAATCATTTTTACTTCATTTATCAAAATATTTGTCAGTAATCCTCATATTCGAGCTCTTATGCTCTTTGAACAATAAACAACGTTAGATTGTTTAATATCTTAATGGTATTAGCTGTTAACAAATTTACAATTTTATTGTAACGATTTAAAACTGATAAAATTGACTTTCTGATACTTTCTAACCTTATTAAATTTTTTAGTTTGTTACAAAAAATTCTCATCTCCTAAACTCTTACATTCATCAAAGTTATGGGTAAGCTTATTTATATTAAAATATATTTCGCAATCATAATTTAACAGCAAGACTAAACTTACAGTCAAAATGTGTAAACTGTGAATATTTAGCTTATTTTAATTAAAAGCGACGATTCTCAAATTAACATGTTAAGTAAGGAAGATCGGAGAAATAAACTAACATCCTGCCGTGAAATAATATTTTATTTATGGTATTTTTGGGATGATTCAATGATTGAGGCGATGAAGTTATAATTAGATTTGAAATATTTTGAATGATCGTAAATTTTGAATTTAAATTATTATGTCAATATCAAGGAGAAAGGCAATGATTAAATTTAGACAAAATCATATTCATCTAATTATTCAAGCCCATTCATCCAAAAGTGGTGTAGCATCACCTTTATTTGCAGGTGAATATGATGGACTGATCGACATTTGGGACGAAGCTCCAGGAGTAGCATGTGATGGAGTACCGGGTTGAACAAGTTTAACCCAAGGATCAGGCGGTGGAGGCATTGAACTGGGTGTTCGTTGCTGAGTTGGAGTTCGTCGAGGAGGTGGCATACTTGTTGATGCTCTATTCCAAGCAGCTGCAGCTGCCGCAGCACTTGAAGGTACATGGAAAGGTGAAGCCATCACCGGAGTACCCTAATGAATAATTTAGATTTAAAATCAAGTTGAATAATTTATAAATAAAAACTAATTGAAGATTAAATGTGACAATAATTACCTGTGGTGTTGGGAATCTTAATCCTGGGGCAGGTGATGTTAATTGTTGGTGTGACATTTGAGATGGAGCACTTAAAAGAGGAGTTGCCAGAGATTTACCAGTAAACCAATTTTCTTGAAACCTTTTAATCACATCTTTTAATCGTCTAAAATATTCCTCTCTATACTTAAATCCTATGGGTTTAATCGAGAGCCACTCGTGAATTACCTGAAAAATTAATTTGTTGATGAATGGTGATTTTAATTATTTAAATTCATAATTTTTCATAAATAACAAGTGGACGAATAAATTGATTATATTAGCTTACCTTTCCTTCTTTGTTTGGATAAGAAAGAAGAAACTTTCCGGGAAAATCTTTACTGGCAGAAATTATATAAACAATGGTGTTTCTTTTTTTCTTTTCTTCGAGGAGGATTTTTTCCGCCTCCCTTTTATTTCCCATTACACTTCCTTTAAAATGTCGGAATGATGTTATTTCTCTAGCGAAACTAGCCATTGGTGTAATATACCTGGCCATAATTTCATCAAGATCTTCATAAATTTCTCCATCGATAATTAATTGATGACCAAGACTAAAAGCATTGTCCTTGTTTTTTTCTAAAATTGCTATATGTTGATAGATACCATCAGCAACTTTCCAAGTAAGTGTCAAGTGATCTGGGCCTTTAGAACTAGGTCTGAATATTGCTTCTCCTTGATGCATTGATTCTAACATTTGTTCACTCTGTTTGAAATCGATGTTATGGAAAGAGGGATGAACAATGATTCGCTTATAAATATTCTGCTTTCCAGCCTTTTTCTTCTTTTTATCTTCCTCTTCTTTGAAATCTTCATCTTCAGCATCAAAATCATAATAAAAGTCTTTGGGAGGACGCCAATGATAAGACCTATCATTAAGATCTGATGTCCGGCAAGTCATCTCAAGGAAGTACTTATCAGCGACAACTTTGGTTATTCGAGCATGAACCGTCATTCCCGGTTTAACACGCTCATCTGGGTTGATTACTTCATGGTCACTAATTTTTTCAATCGGCACCAGGCCAACTAAACCATTATCTAATCTTACTCTCACTCCCATTGCTTGACCCGGACAAAGTTCAGCATCATAATGATTCCATACTTCATTCAATTCATCAAAATCATTCTTTTTACAAACTGGACACATCCAGAGACCAGTTTCATCGTTACGAACTGGATTGTTTTCATCAGTTGAACCTTGTAAAGGCTTACGACGATATACATTGATAACTGTTCCAATAATTAGCTTACCAACATAAAAAGTTTCAGGAGACTCTTTGGTTAAAAGATGGAATGAATCTTCAGCGGTTAACTTATAAGTTTGTCTTAAATCTTTGTATGGATGATTCAATTCCTCTCTAATATCGTACAATGTAATTTTTTTGTTACCACATCCTTCCTTTGCTAATTGCTCAGCGAATGCATCTAAGTCAAGATCTTTCAGGTTTTCTGGATTTTCCATAATTTCTTCTAAAGCACCAGCAGATGGAAGTTCATTGGTTTCATCGTATTCTAAAGCATCAATAGCCATCTTTCTAGCCAGATCGTAAGCTTCTGGATGAATCCTTGTACTATCCAAAACTTCAATGTATGTTTCAGTTCCAGTATCACTGAGTTGAGCGGTATCAAGCTTAATAAATCCAGCGCAGTTTTGGAAAACAACTTCACCGATCCCACAATTCACCATTAATTGAGTTCTTGTTTCTAAAAGTGGAGTTGGTGATTTTTTCAAGTTCCTTACTAAAGCGGCTGCTTTTCTCGGACCGAGTCCACAAACAAATTGTAGTAATTGAGATGTATAATTATGAACTAGAATTCGGTTGATATCAACTCCAACTTCATTCACTCTGTAAATGAATTCTTGCTGTAAACTTGAAAGTAATTCATCTTTAGGAACATGGTCTTGAAGTGAATGATACTTCATACAAAGAATTTCTTCATCAGCAGTACAGAGTTGTGAGAATTCAATAAGCGGATCCTGGAGTCTTCTGGCTAGGGAAACAGCTTGACGAAGGACTGGTGGAAAATCGTGAAATTCAGCCATGGCACGTTTAGAGTTCATATATACAGTTGAAAGTTCATCATCGAGCAGGGTTACAGGAATAACCGGAATATTTTCTTCGTCGTGTAATTCTTGAGCCATTGTCATTATTTCATCAATAAGATATCTGGCTGTCAAATCTTTTGAACCAACACAAATAACATGCGGTTTTTTGTCGAGAATAAAATTTTTCAACCTTTCTTTATCTTTTTCTCGAAGGTCTTTTTCTTTTTCGGTTGCATACACTGTTCTTCTCAACATGAAATTAGGAAGCCTAAGATGTTCGACTACTTCTCCATCACCATCCACTAGAACAGCAAAACTAGGACTTTCATCTTGAGGAGCATAGGCAAATCCGAGAACTCGTAAACCTTCACGAATGTCAAAATCTTCATCTTCAGTTACTTCTGGATTTGGGACATAAGGTCCAATTTTTAGCCAATCATAAAGCTTTTTAGAAGCTCTCTGAAAAATTAAAAGATTGAAGCACATAAAATTAGTACATAGAAGACTTCAAAATCTAAAGTATTAATTTATACCTTTATAACTCCCTCTTGAGATTCTTTGGTTAGCTTAGCGATAAGCTCGACTTCAAACGACGGGTAGAGAAATTTATCTAGTGCAGTTTCAAGTGCTTCGAGTCTAAGTTTGTTCCATTTTTGTACATTGCTGCTGAATTCGTCCTAAAATAAACAAAATAAAAGATTACGACGATTTCAGAGAAAAAGATATGAGTGTCAAATCGATAAAACATACCCGTTGATAAAGAGCTTTAATCTCATCGAAATAAGTTGGATTTGGGTCTTTTCCTTTAACATTTGCTTTATCCATAGTTATTTTTACAGTTACGTTGCCCTCTTGTTTAGCGATTACCAGATGTAAAAATTGTTCGTTGGAAAATTCAGAAACAGGCTTATTACGTAAATATTTGTAGGTAAAACAGGGATGGCTCTCATCAATTTCTTTCATTCCCTTCTTGGTAGGTTTGACATGAATAACAGCTCTTTCAAAGAAAACTTGACGAGTAACTTTACGAACAATAGGATCAGAAGCTAACTGTCGAGCTACCATGTATTTAGCTGCTTTAAGAACTGCTTCCACATCAGGAAATCTTGTACAGATATAATCATTAGCAAACTCTTCAGGTTCTATAGGTATCTGCTCAACTTCATATTTTTGATAAGCATCACGAAGATTTTCACCAAACTGTTCTGGAGTTAAACCAAACCTTGTGGCCAGTCCTAAAATTCCTGCTTCTTGACAAACAGTGTAAAAGTCTTTTCTTTGAATCAACTTGAGAGATGACATCTTATCTTTAATTACATCCTCTTCTTCATGCACTTGATCACCCTCTTCACCGCCTTCAAGTCTAGATTCAAGTCGCCTTTTTCTTTCTGCTTCAGCTTTAGCTTGTTTCATAGCTGGAAACAGAGATCCATAGTAAAGTTGAAATTGGACCCAACAGTCCCTGAGCTCGTCGAAGCTATTCACTCTATCAATACGTTCAATGTCAGCGTCACCAATAATTCTAGCACCTTCTGGTAAAGGAGCATCAGGATCAGCGATAATTAAATCTCCTTGATACCTTTGCATATCCAGTACTAATTTTTTCATATTAGCTTTTCGCTGTAAAAGTTGACACCACTTTTCATCCCATTTATAGATTGTCCATAAATCATCAATCTCTAATTCTGGTCGAACGTATTCTTTTCTATAAAATTGGATGAATGGAACCTCACGGCTTTGATTTCTGATGAATTTGAGAGTTTCTCTAATCTTTGGTACAGCTGTTGGAGGCTTTTTACCTGCAAGTGGTCCTCTTTCTAGCGATCGACCAGCTTGCTGAGCTGCATCTTGAATTTGTATAGTAATTGTAGGCTGTGAGAACGCATTTGAATAGATCCAGTCAGCTTCTTCATCTATTTCTCCATCATCAGCTGGAGTAACAGGGGTACTTCGTAGTTGGAATCTTTCAGGTAAATCAGCTGTGGTAATTTTTTTATCCTGCTCCTGAAGGAAACTTTTTTCAAGCTCAGCTGGCTCGTAGACTTCAAAAATTGATTTACGCGAGGATTTTTTCTTTGCTTTACTTTTCTTTCTGATTCGAGCTCCTCCTTCTCCGTCGTCTTCCTCTTCTTCTTCATATTCGTCATCTTGTTCGTCTTCGTACTCGTCTTCAACACCATAATTTTGGAAATCATCGAAATCAAATTCAACTCCAAAAACATCTTGAGCTTGCTGCATGGCTTCATCATTGTATCGGTAACCTTTCTTTTTTCTTGGTCGCGAGATTGGTTCATCATTGTCATCGACAATGAAATTACCTTCATCATCGGATTCTTCCGAGCCAGATAAAGCCCTGTAACGATCATCTTCTTCTTCATCACCTCGGCGTCGGCGATCATTCTTAGGCCTTTGTTCACCGTCTTCGTCATCAAATAGCTCATTAGCGATGGCTTCTCTTTCATCCTTTTCACCTTCATCATCAGATTCTTCATCAATCAGACGACGAACACGTTTGAATTTCTTCTTTCGTGATAATTTTACACCCAAATTTTCCTCAAGCAGATCCAAATCATCATCATCGAGATCTTCCTCCGATTCTTCTTCATCTCTGCTTCTTTTTTTGCCCCCTTCCTCATCGTCGTCATCATCTGATTCACCCTCTTCTTCTTCTTCTTCGTCATTGATCAAGTCTTTCATTTCATTTCTAAGGGCTTCCTCGTCATCTAGAAATTACGATTGTACATAAATTTTGATTTAAAAGATATAGATTAACACACAAATCTATTAAATGAGATCTAATAAAATCCAAATTAAATAAACAAGCGCATTACCTTCTTCCTCTTCCTCTTCGGAATCTTGGGTTGGCTTGGCACGCTTTTTACGAGGATGTCGTGCAACTTCATCCGAATCATAATCATTATCTGACTCTTCAGCTTCGTTTTCAAGAAATGAACTCATAATTAAACTGATTTAACAAACTAAAGAGTCTCCAAAATTGAATAATAACAAATAAAAACAAATTCACTTTACTGACAGCTTTTCACAAGATGGCGCATCCATGCCGATATAAAAAGTAACTCCATCTATCAGTTAATGTTTATGTTTAACATTTGTTTGATTTAATTTTGTAACATTTCAATTTCAAAACAATAACTAAAATCTCTGATAGTGCTCATGATTTAGTGCTTATTTTTAAATTTAATTAAATTACTATCAAATCCTGGTGAAGGAATTAAAGGTAAGTTATTGTTTTCAAACTCTACTCTGTATCATTTTTCTAAAAAATCTTTCTTTTCTATAGCATTTGGATTTTTGAGATTTAGCATGTCTCTTATAACGAAGTTGTTACCCACACTGAGAAATGGGCTTAATCGCATTATCAACCCTGTTCTAACTCAATCTAGCTCTTTTCCGTCATTATCACTAACTTCTTTGATTGGTCAAACTTCCATTAGACCAATAACCAGAGAGGAATGTCGTGTTAAATATGGTAAACTTTGGGAAAGATGGGAAGAAAAGAAATACTTTATGTTCAAGTTGCAGAAATGGCACGATCAAGGTCCGATCAAACCTAGGAGAAGAAATCACCCTTTGTTATCGAATCCGCAATTACGAGGAATTGTTATCAAAACTTTGATAAAAAAACCTAAGAAGCCAAATTCTGCCAATCGTAAATGTGTTCTGGTCAAGTTATCCACCGGAAGAGAAGTAATTGCATATGTCCCCGGAGTTGGTCACAATTTGCAAGAACATAGTGTCGTTCTAGTTAGGTATGGACGTACTCAAGATGTTCCTGGTTTAAAGATTAAAGTAATTCGAGGAGTGTATGATTGTGCTCCATTAGTCAGACAGTCTCAGAGACCCGGTTAATTCTGTTAAATTAATGTTATCATATGTGAATTAGTGCAAAACATAATTTTGCAGTTTAATAAAGTGAATTGTGAAAAAATTGGATGAAAATTCTTTCATGACAATTCAAGTTTAATTATTTACATTTATGTTGCTTTATTAGAAATTCAAAATAGAGTTTTTATAAAATTAAATATTTATTGTATCAAGAAGCAATTTAACTTAATGTCTAATTCAATATCTTTTTGATGGGAAGACTTTTAAACGACAAAATATGCTGATGAATGGATCTATTACTCATGTTTCATGCATATTGCATAGTGAAATGGAGATTTGCTGGACTCATTAGTCTATGGAAAATAAGCAAAATCATATTGAGCTATGCAGATCAAATCAAGTTTAATTGAATGGTTTATGGATTAATTACTGTAAATAGAAAGTCAATCTGGTTTTGCAAACTTATGTCAAAAAAGTTACTTCATGATGAAGGTTTTCTATGTTTCAAGAATTTTTAAAATTGACATTGCTCGTAATCAATTTCGATGAATTTAGACATTTATAAATGGTAATTAATAATTTGAATCTCATTTACAATGTTAGAGTCTTGTTTTTATAAATGGCTTATAATAGCGTACTTTTAACATTCAAATAAGGCTCCATTAAAAAAGAATGAAGCGCGCATTAAGATAAAAGCAAACAAAAATCTGTCTTGAAAAATAAAACATCAAGTTTAGTTATATTTTTTTAATTGCGTCTATTTGTCCTTAAATTTTGCTTTATTATGATCTCGTTTAAATTTTCTTTGTTATTTTTCGTACTGTGATTTGCATTTTATATTACTTGTTTCTTGGTCAAATGAGTGGGTTCCAATTTTAGTTTCGAAGCCAAGTATCAACAACATAAACAATTAATGGAGTCTTCAGATAATAGCAATAAACCTGATAGTCCTCACAACGATCTGAGCAGTGAAAAAAGTGATAGCACTGAAAGTAACAGTGATGATAATGTTGGTGCTGATGGTAGTAATAGCAGTTCACCATCTGAATATGAAGAGGAAGGATTCTTCGTTCAAAATTATACCATCAATCCTGAATGGAAGGACATTTCACCGGTAATACCTGACCCATACGAAGCCAAAGTACTTGGTATACCATATACAATCAAATTCCGGGAAGCTCATGAATATTTTAGGGCAATATTCAAGAAAAATGAACTATCTGAAAGAGCCCTAAAATTAACTGAAGACTGTATCTCTTGGAATCCTGCTAATTCAACTGTTTGGGTATTCCGCAGAAAATGTTTATTAGCTTTGGGTAAAAATTTAGTCGAGGAATTAAATTACCTAAATGACATAATTGTTGACCATTCTAAAAATTATCAAGTTTGGCAGCATCGAAGATGGATTATTGAGCTATTAGCTGATCCGCAGACAGAAAAAGACTTCACAGATAGACTCTTTAAGCAAGATGGCAAGAACTATCATGCTTGGCAATATCGTCAATGGGTAATTTCACATTTCCAATGGTAAAGTTTATTTCTACATTCAATTTATTTTAAGCTGTAGCAATGGGCAATTCAATATCCTCAATCAATCTAAGAAAAATGTGTCTGATAATAGACCTTTCATAATACACCCTATAATAAAACGTTGTAATAATTCGTTGTATTAACATAGTTATTATTAACTTGTTGAATCAATTTTAATTCTAATTTTTGATTCTATATTTTTCAGGTGGGATGGTGAACTGGAATACACCGAGGAACTAATAAAAGAAGATTTACGGAACAATTCCGCGTGGAATCATCGATATTTTGTGCTAAAACGTACAAAGCAGTTGCAAAATAATGAAATCATCGAAAATGAAGTTGCCTTTGCGATTGAAAATATTTTGAAAGTCCCAGAAAATGAAAGTCCATGGAACTATTTAAGAGGCGTTTTAGCTGGTGTAGGTTTGAACAAATTTCCCGAGAAAACTAAAGTGTTTGAAAATGTCACAAGTGTACATTGTTTTTCTTTTCGAATCGACGCCATGGAAGAGTTATTGAGAGATCAAGACATGAAAGATCAGATGGTTGTTCAAAAGATTCTGGAGTTAGTAGAAAAATTATCTACCGAAATGGATGTTATCAGATCTCAATACTGGTTGTTTATTGGAAGGACTATTTCTGAGAAATATGGAACGAAAAAAGATTAATGATAGATTAATCTTTGCCTTTTTTCACCTCATTCTTTTCTTTGTGATATCTACTATTTTTAATCAGCAAATCAGAATTTCAATCGATTACAAGTTTTGATTGTCTTCATGTTTTTCAATGCTTATATTGAACATGTTTAACATTGTCCTTAACCTAAGACGACGAAATTGGATTAGATTATCGCATATTACTTGAGTGAGAGAGTTAATTGGAATTTTTGTGCCATAGATGGTAAAATGCAAGTTCTAGCAAAACTACATCATTTACAATCGTGTAATTGTAATTTCCTCAAGATTTACATTATAGTTACGAGTTATTGCTGTCAGATTCCAAGAATTTTGATGCTTTTGCGCTTTTGCTGAATTGTTCTTTTTCTTGCAATGAGTTAACATTTTTCATGTAAATATCTTTCTTTTTATATTCTTGAAAAATTTACCTGGAGACATCGATTACTAGTGAATATTCAAAATGATTGCAAAACATACATTTCAAATATCGATTGATATCATTTGGTTGTCAATCAGCATTAAAATAAATATGCGGCCTTATTTAAATGCTTTTTGTGAGGAAATAATCTGTTTACTCGAAACAAATTGTAATTATCACAAAATTTAAACAAAATTTCCTCTGATGTAGGCCTTGCTTTAAATTTAAAGATTTAATAAAAAATTGAATAAAAAAATTTGAAAAAGGTAACACTGATGTTACACAAGGAGGAGCATTTATTTAACACACAGAGGATCCACATTTTCCCCAATCACAGAAGATCATATGTTTTTCTGATTTTCTCCTCTGAAACATTTGAAAACATTGATATTGTGATTTTATTTTACTTTTTCTATTGATCAATCCTCGATAATTTTGTTTAATTAGTGAACTAGCAATCAACTGCAGAATACTTTCCTTCCCCCTTTACCAAGTACACCTGTAACCGGCACCAGTAACCAAGGCATCTTTAATAACAATGTTTTTTATTCCATTAGTTTTATACAACAATTAATCTGGTATCTATATTTATCACACATAGCTAAAAGTTTTCGGAATACAGAACTATTTCTAAATGTCTGTAAAAAGCAATAAAAGATTAAAGTTTGGACTACTGTTGATCCTTGTTTTCCAAACCACAGGATGTGTCCTTTTACTAAGGTACTCAAGGCATCGAACATCAGTGAAATCATCTGAAAATTACCTTGTATCAACCACAGTTGTATCTTCTGAAATTATCAAAGTTTTGACTAGTCTATGTGTGCTTTTATTTCAAACTGGTAAGTAATGCTTATCCTAATTTGATATTATTTCTTGTAATTAATAACATTTATAATATTTTGGTTTTTACTGTAGGAAGCCTCATGTCATGTCTGCAACTTCTGCACAAGGAGATCATATTAAATCACCAAGAATCGCTGAAATCCGCAGTACCTGCTTTATCTTACACTGTGCAAAACAATTTGCTGTTCGTGGCACTTTCTCACCTAGATTCTGTGACATATCAGGTTTGTGATCTCACAACTGCATGCCTAATAATTAGCTATTGTTTTGCTTAGAATAATCTTTTCAATAGTCATCAATCATTCACTATAATCTTATTGGATTACAGATGCTTTAGATAATTGAAAGATTCGTTTATTGTTATCCAAACTAATTTCTGATAGGATTTCTGTCTTCATGAATCATGAATAAATCAAACCTCGAATTTCATGGCTCAACAAATGAGCATCAACTATCTATCTTTGAAGTAGCAAATTCTATGAAAAAGCATTCATTTTTTGAAACGCTCAATTCTAATTTTAGTTTTTTTTCATTTAGGTAACTTATCAATTGAAAATTTTGGTCACCGCTATTTTTTCGGTCCTTATGCTCCACAAACGTCTTTCATCTATTCAATGGCTATCCCTTGTCATGCTTATGGCCGGTGTTATAGCCATTCAGTTACCTGATTCGTCAAGTACCAAAACCGAACAACAAAATGATTTGATTGGACTTCTTTGCGTTCTTATATCATGTTTTCTAAGCGGTTTTACTGGTGTTTATTTCGAAAAAATATTGAAAAAAGGAGATCAAAGTTTATGGATTCGAAACTTTCAGTTATCTTTCATGAGTTCAATCCTTGCATTGATCAACGCTTTTGCTCAAGACCACTCAAAAATTTTCAAGTCTGGTTTCTTCTTTGGTTATACTCCTCTTACTTGGACTGTAATCCTAATTCATGCATTTGGAGGCTTTATTGTCGCTTTCGTCATGAAATATGCAGATAATATTCTTAAAGGATTCGCTACTTCCATTTCAATTGTTATTTCCACCATAATTTCATTCTACATCATGGACGATTTTTCGCCACAGCCATACTTTATAATTGGAGCTCCAATGGTACTCATTGCTGTAATCCTTTATGGCTATTAGCAACTTTTTTGCTTTCAATTCTAGGTTTCAACTTTTAAATCAACTTTGTTAATACGTCAATTTATTTATTTTTGTATAGATGTATATAAAGATAAACTAACAAATCAACCGGCAAGAAAACAAAAAGTGATCAGATTGAAATGCAGCTAAGCTCAAAACTACTTGATCTGTCTTGAAGCTGTAGTTTTCAATAAGGAGATTGAATTACACACATTAAAGTTACAAATTATTTAAGAGTTGATGCTTTCGTTGTTTGATTAAATCACTGATTATTGAATGTTTGTATAAACATTAAAGCGTTAATAAGTTATTACGTTGCTAATTGAATTTTCAAATTTCCTTTATTATCTTTTTAGATTCAAGTTTTGATGGAAAATTATTAGTTATACATTAATTGGAGATTCATATAAATAGTATACTAGTTTTAACTAGCTTGATCAAAATTTTTAAGTCAAAAATTAATTATCTAATTAGAGTGAAAAATTTAAATAAGTGCAGAGGAATGAGTATAAATAATAGAGTAAAGCCATTGACTCCGCCATCAATCGACACCTCGTCGTCGTAGATCTTCTCGGATAATCATCAGGAACTTTGAGTTGGTACGTGACCATTCAGCTCTTCTTCTCGAAACTATGCGGCTTCTACCAGTATCTAGTAATGCACGAGCAAGTTCTTTGTTTTGCGTGAATTTCAGCCAATTGCACTTAAAGGCAACATCATATTTGTATGCCCGCCATTTGTCTCTTTTCATATTGTATTCCTCTATTGGCACAAAACCATCTTGGAAAGGTTCGTCAGAGAGTCTAACCTTTTCGGCCTCTTCGGGTCCTCTCAATATCCTGACTTTTTCACTTTGATAGTAGTTTTGAGCAGATTTGTAGGTAAGTACGCATTGATCGAAGCTATCATCCTCCGTTTTGATTGTAGTTATTTGGTTTGGAGATTGGTAGGCATAATCAAGGGGATCGGCAAATTTAATGATTTTCTTTCTTGCATTATGATCAATATCCAATTGCTCGTAGTATATATTCAATAAATCTCTGGTGAAGAAAAGCGATGAAATATCAAGACTGGCCATTTTTAAACTGTCAAGTTGTTGCACAAAATATCAAGTTGTTGAAAATATCTATTATTATGTCAAGTTCACAGAAATAGGTTCACAGGTTAACAAAATTACAAAATATTTTATTGATGTTGAGAGTCCAAAAACTAAACTGGGAATGAACATAAGCTTTCTCTGAAGCTCCTTTTATACCATTGACAGAGTGAGTACCTGACTCCTAACCAAGGCTAACTAGTTGTTACAACTGGTTATAGGTGAAAAGTAACCAGTAGCAACGACTAGTTAGCACTGGTTAGCAAAGTGGTTAGGGAGGTTTCAATGGTTAAGGTGTCTTACAATACTTGTTATACTCAAAAGAAAAACCTGTCTCTTACTTTCTGGTTAAAGCTGGTGCATTACCATTTAGTTAGACTTCTTACAAGTTGCGATAAGACGTTTACCAGTAACATGAAACTGAAATTCTTTTGTTGTGACTGAAATAAAGCTGTGGGTGTCTATGGCGGGTTATCATCTTATTTATAATAACCTTCACTTGTTTGATGTTATAATACATATGTAATGTAATAAAGTCAGATTTACTTGATTCCTTTCCTTTAAAAAGACACAATTAACACAATTATCACATTTATGGACAAATTAACAAAAATTGACACAAATGGGCAAAAATGGGTAAAAATTAATTTCTTTCGATTTATACTCTGTTAGTTTTTAGGGACATGAAAACTGAGTCCATTTTTGCGATTTAAAAATTTCCCAGCAGAAAAAGTTGAGTGAAAAATTTGGTCCAGAACGGACAAGTTGGTTTAGAATAGGGAAAAATTGATAAAAAAATTTGGTGATGTACATTGAGTAATGGAATTGTCCTAGAACGGACAGCTTTTTTAGGTTAGCTGTGCCAGAGTGGACAACTTTGTGCTAGAGTTAGGTTAGTTGGGTACACCGAATGATGGTATTAAGATAGCCACACTGTATGATAGTATTGGAAAATCGATACCGTATGACGGTATCATTGGCTTAGAAGCGTACTGTCCCAGAAAAACCGACTCGGTCCAGATGCGGACTTTTTATGGCTACATTTAAAAAAGCTTATTTTTTCATTAAAAATCGTTTTATTTACTTTTATTCCTTTAATTATCTTTATTTGTCCCAGACCCGGACGAATGTCCCAGATCTGGCAAGATAGTGTTCCAGACCCGGACATTTCCTATAAATGAGTTTTATGTAAAGATAAGCTTCCATAGCTGAACGAAAGGTGATCGATGTTCAACTTTGATTTAGATTTGCTCGAAAACTGTCCATCGGATGAACTATTTAATAGTGTGACTCAGTTTTTATCTCCCTTCAAACCAACAGAGTCTTAATTTGCCATAAATTAATTTTTACCCGTTTATGCCCATTTGTGTCAATTTGTTTCATAAATAAGATAATTGTGTTAATTGTGTCTTTTTCTTATCAACGCATTGTGTTTTCTTTTCTACAATTGCGAGAAAAAACTTTGATCGGTTTAATTATTAATCTTACTGGTTTTTAGCTTCTTTAATTCGCCCTTCACTTAGGAAGGATATCAGTTCAGAATAAAAAAGGCGGATTTTCATAATATTTGCTTAAGAATTGAATAGATTTAAAACAATATTTATTTGCTTGAAAATATAATAATTTCTCTTTATTTTTGTTTATACAGCCAATGAATAATATTTCAACATGAAGTTTTCACGTTCTAGATCTATTTTAGTTATGATTCTGTCGGACTTTCTAGTAAATTTAAAAAATATTTTTTTGAATTTCGGAAGATTCATTTTTCAGTCAAGAGATATTATACATCTAATTCGGTCGAATTACAATCTGAATGATTGTTGCTCAAAAAGATTGCAAGAACAGTTGCCACCTTATGTAGACATGCATGTTAGTTGTGCCTGATTGTATGAGTAAAGAAAAGATCGACGAATGTCACTATATTTCATTCCGATTGATTGAATAAAATGCATTTTATATTATAAGTAACTTGCTGTTTGTTGTTTTTAATTTATTTGAACTCTGTTACAGTGGAAGTGAAAAGAGTTCCATTAATTTGGAAGTAAAGCAACATCAGATTCTCAAATAATTTAAAAAAGTGTTAAAATAATGTAATTGAATCGTGTTTCTTCCTGACTGGAAATTCTGTAAGTAACAAGTCCATTAATTACAAACTCGATACTAACTATAGTTACATGAAGGCCTTGTTTTAAGATTTTAATTACAAATTGAATAAAGGACAGAAAGGAGTTGAAATTAATAAATCTTGTATTTCCTAGCAACTCTACGGGATTCATTCAGAGTAATTCAATTGGTTGATGAAACACTCATAGGAGCCTAAAACTTGTTCACCAGTGATTAACATCATCTATTCTTTGTGCTGCAAAATAAAATTCAATTCTCAAAATCAAACACTAATATGATTCTTTGGCAAGTTTCTGCTTGGATCTTTAAGTGGAGGATTCCTGGTGAATAAGCAAAAGATGGTAAAAAATGTGTTAAATTAAGATAATTTTGAAGTTTCGATGAAATTTTGTGTACATTTGTGATGATTCAATGGAACGTGTTTTTTTCATTGGTTTATCTTCTGGTCAAAAGTTATTTTAATTTCATCCGATGGTATGGCACATACGCTAAGGGAAAGTACGATCTCTATTAAGATGCATGCTTAACTCAATTTTGCTCTTGTTAGGTTTTTTTGGTGATCGAGTTAATTTATTCATTGCCATTTTAGGGCAATCAATTCGTGCTGGAATCAAATCCTCGAACTGATGAAGTAATTTTGTGAAAGAATATAAAACAAAATTATTTGAGCTGAAGATGAAACGAGGTGTGAGACTGAATAGAAAGAGGATGTCATGAAAAATGTGAAGAGATCAAAGTTTAGTAAATTAAATTGAAAATCATTGAAATTGTCGTCTATGATATTTATCTGGATCTAAAAAGGATGTGACCACTACTCTGTCCGAAAATTTGCGTCCAGTTAAAGCTTGTTGTGCTCTTTGACATTCAGGTATCGTACTAAATTCGACAAACACCTAGAAAAGCAAAGAAAAAATTGTTAACATTTTTAAACATTATTCATTTAGAAGATGAAAAATTTTACTTACTTTACCAACACCTGGTATTTCGACACCTGGAATGGGTCTTGGTATTTCGATAGACCTAACAACACCATATTTGGAACATTCTTCTTCGATATCTTTAAGAATATCATCATATTCTTCATCATCAGATAATTCTTGAGCAGTAACCATATTCATCAAACAAAGAACTTCAGTGGGTTGACCAAGACCAGTGGAAACCACTTGAAGACCTGGAACTTGAATTTGAACTGGAGCTGCCAATGCTGCGCCGGGTTGGGCCAATGGTCCACTTTTAGCACCTACACTTGCTCTTTGAACAATCAGTTTTTTATCCCCCAGCTGCATTCCATTGAGACCAGCGATTGCCTGAAATAGATATAGAACCAAGAGCTGTCAAAGAAAGCTGTAATGAAACAGAGAGAGCCATTAGACACAATTTTTCTAACTATTACTAGTGTCAATGGTTATATCTTGATTATGCTGACATTTCATAACTATAGCTTCTTCAAGTATAAACCATCCCAACCAAAAACCAATGAATGATCAATTTGTTTGGTAAATAAGTGCTAAACAAAAAAAACATCTTTTGACATCGTCCAATGGCTGCTTTGATAAATTTTATCCGGTCTCTCTGTGTGAAAAATTTATATTTTTTTCTTATATTTATACCTGATCGGTGATATTGACATCCGCATATTCACAAAATGCATAACCCTTTGATAATCCTGTGGCAGAGTCTTTTACAAGATTGAAAGCTCTTAACTGTCCGAAGCTCATCAGTAGCTCTAAATGGAAAAAATTGAAATGATTAGAGAAAATTGGAATTTCTTGTATGAATTGAAAAGCAAACCTTTGACTTGGTCTTCATTAAGATAGTTAGGCAAACCACCGATAAAGATTTTATGAGGAGAATCTGCAACCACTGTAGATATAACTCCTGGAACTGTGATCTGAGGAATCTCTGACATGCCTGGCATTGGCTGATAATCATGAGGACGTCGTATTTTTAAAGATTGGCCTTTGAAAGCAATACCATCGAAAGCCATAGCTGATGTAGTTTCGTCAATTGACCGAAACTAGAATTCAAAAAAGAAGAAAAAATACTAAATGTAAAATCTACATCATTTGATAAAGTTTAAACTTACTTCGAGGAAGGCGAAATTTTTATCTAAATTGATCTGAGACGCAAGAACAGGATTACCGGGAGCTTGAGCGAACCCACAAGCATGCATTTGTGAATTAAAAAATTCCATCATCTCTTCTTCTGAACATCCAAATGGTATGTTACCGACATAAAGCCGTCGAGCCTGGCGCGTCAGAGTAGATCCGACAATTGGCACAGGTACAGTCCCTGGAGTAGCAAATAAAGTTGCCGGTATTTGTCCAGCAGCTTGCATTGCTTTATATTGATACGGTGAGATATGTTCAAATCCTGGAGGTGGAATATCCCAATACTTGGAAGGCTTCTTTCGTCTTTTCTCCTTGGGTTTGTCCGGCGATCTAAAAAGATAAAGAAAAAAGAAAACATGTTTAAAACAGAGCGATATAAAATTGATACACAGAAATGAAAACAAGATGTAATCAAATTGGTAGAGCATCGACAAACTACCAATTTTGTGAGAAAATGAGTTCAAAAAATGAAACTAATTAATCGTTAGCCATGTAAAATGGTAACCCATAGGATAAGACATAAATTTTCACATTGTTCATTTGAAAAAAACTACAACTTACCTCGCTTTACGTTTATCAGCAGATGAATGTCTAGCCATTTTTAATTTAAGATTGGTTTAACACTACCACAGGTAAACAAGTAAAGAAGAGTCGATACTTCACAAGAAAATGGTAAATTTAACAGGTAAAGTGTTTAATGTTGTTCACAATTAAATCCAATGCTACTCCATTAACTGACTAGCGAAGACCTGCACGGAAATTGGAGATTTTTTCCCCTTTCAAGGGACCGAAGCAAAGGGAGCGTACTCTCATTAAAAACTCCACTATGCTTGATGTAAACATTTGCAGTCTTTTGTTGAACTGGGAAAAGTTGATTTTTGATTATTGTGGAGATGTAATCATTAGTTTTATTTTTCATTTTCGTTTCATATTGTGAAGCCTAATGAATAATCAATTATTTTAGGCATTTAAAAATTATAAATTACTCATTTTGATAAAAGCATACATGATTCAATCATCTAATCAATCTTTTAAATCAAGTGAAATGACCAGCTATGAAGGTGAATTTTATGTGTTGGACTTGAATGGACTTATTGAGTCCATGGTTGATGATGATGAAGATGAATTAAGTGATGATGTTTGGCCATCGGTTTTAGATGAGCCTCAAACAGAATATTGTAAACACGAATCTCAGGATGGTCGAGTTGTCCTTATAACAGAATTTAGGACAATTGATGGCCAAAGAAAAGCCCATATTATAGTCAGGGTAAGTTAAGATTCTTTTTACCTCTCCTTAGTCTTTCTTTCTCTTACTTTTTTCACAATCTCTTTACCTGCCTCTTTCTTTCTATCTCTCCCTCTTTCTCTTTCCTCTTTCCAGTCCTCAATTTTACCCATTAATCTCCCATCCGCTTGACCTGGACTTATGTCATATACTTTAAATATTTACCCTAAAGGAAATGATTTTGACTTATGATGATATAGTTATCCTTGCGCTCATAGAGGTGTCCATTTTGGATGCCTGTGAAGACCAACTATGTTGGGCCATTAATTATCTGATTAAAAATCATTTTCAATTAATATTTATTGGCAAAAGCAATTCATCAAATTGCATTTAAATAATTTAGTATTAATTTATGCTTCAATTTATCTTTTCTTTTATGACAGGGTACACCTGAAAGGCTTCTTCTTGGTCTATTGGAGTCAGATACATATGATCCATATTATATTGATGATTTTTTATTAACCTATCGCGTCTTTATGCCTTCAATCGACCCAAATGACAAGCCTCCGGGTAAAGCTGATATTCATTTAGTTAATGGTATGAATCAGATTTGTTCAACCTTGCTCTCATGGTTTGACGATCCTAGCCTTAGAAGCAAGGTTATTCAAATCGTACAAACATGGATTAGTAACTATTACCTTGACTTTGAGCTTGTATCAAGTGAAAGCTCTATTTTAAATTCAACAACAACAACTACTACTACAACAAACACATCTTCATCAACTACAGCTACTAATACATCGTCACCCGCATCACAACCCAATATATCACATGGACAAAAGTTTTTGGAGATTTTTGAGACTAAACTATCTTCTATTAGCAGTTTATCAACACAGTTGAGCCTTTTACATATGACTATTTCAACAAAAGCAAAGCAACGCAACATCACTTTAACCCGGTCCAATAGGGATGATGAGGTGCTAAATTTTTCAATTGCAGGAGGATATGAAAGAGGCTATGGTATTTTTGTATCAAAAGTTGACTCTGGATCTAAAGCTGAAACTCTTGGTTTAAGGCGCGGTGATCAGATTCTGGAAGTAAATGGCATTAATTTTACCATAATATCACAATTTAAAGCGCTAGAAGTTCTACGATCAACAACACATTTGCAACTCACTGTTAAATATAATCCATTCATGTTCCGAGAGATGAGCAGTTTGCCTGAAGGTATTTAATTATCTAACCTGAATATATAAATATTATTCTCTTTTTTCAAACTCGTTTTTCATCCTTATCTCATCTTCAAACTCTTTTCTCTTTCATTCCATCCTTTTCAATTCTTAGGTAACTTACCCTTCCGCCTATCTTACTTTTACTATCGCTCTTTCTTCTCTCTCTATTATGTGCTCATATTATTATTTCCCTCTTCTTTCTCTACTTGCTTACTCATTCATTCTCCTCTATAAAAATTCACCATCTTTATTTTTTCTTACTCTCACTTGCATCCTCATCATTTTAATCCTTTATTCTCAAACTGTCATTTCCATTTCCATTCGCATTTTGATTCACTAATTCTCACTCTTGCCTCGTTTTTTTCGTTTTTATCAGATTCTAAGGGCAAAAAATATTCAATTTCGTCAGCACTTCTTCCGAATTTACAAACCTCCATAAATACCTCACCCAATGGTAAAACTACATTCCAAAAGAAGAACAAATGTCAAACAGGAATAACTAATAATAGCAGCGGAACAAAAATTAAAAAAGCTATCCCAAAGTTCGCCAATTTTATTTCAAGACACTTACCTAATTTTTATTCAGATTTTGAAACGGATGTTTTGAACCAATGTGAAGTGGACTGTGCTAGACCTAATCGTGATCATTTACCAAAAAACACTGTCCATCGTTCCCTTTCAAATCCAGATCTTCACTCTATTTTCACATCAGCCCTTATGGATCCTCCGAATCCGGATCCAGCCCCTGACCCTCAACTTGTGATAAGAATTTTCAATGCAGCTAATGGTGATTCTAGGTATCTTTTAATTCACGAAGAAACTACTGCACGAGAAGTCGTAATGGTCAGTTGCAGAGAGTTTGGCCTATGTACTCAAACATCAGTTGGTAATAAACAGTCATCAGGAGAATCTGGTCTTGCTAAATCGTCATTAAACTACGCCCTTTATGAAGTATCCGTTGTCCCTGAGGTAAAAAGAATATCAATTTCTCTTTGTAGAAACAATGCATCATCAACCATCACTTGTCTAAAAGTTTAATTTATGGCAGGCTGAACCTAGATTAATCACTGTAAACTTTAGAATCGTTATGAATTTATACATGTAGGTCGATCAGGATTTTGATTCATGCTTTGTGATAAATCTCTAAAATTATTTAGCTACTTCTCTCTCATAATTCTGATTTACCATTTTACAATGTTTTTGCTGTCTATTTAATATCAGTCATTGTTTTTTGTTGATTATGCAGGATTTGTTTTGTTTTCATTATATCATTGATAAAATAGCTATTAGAGAAGCTCATTATCTAACATACACCTCCTCCGATTTTATTTTTTAATTATCCTGTTTTCCACCCAATATCATCACGTCATTTTCAATGAATTTAATTACCATTTCTATTCTTTCAATATTTCTATAGGCCAATAACACTATCAAACAACGACGTTTGCCTGATCAAATGAACAATTTATCTGAAAAAGCTTCTTTATTATCTCGATACTACCTCAAAGAAAACAGTAATCCATTATTGTCCACTGGATCATCTTCATCTAATAACTCGTCCAACGATGAATTAGCTCAAGAAATTCTGAAAGAATGTCCAATGCCCATAAATCTTTTATCACTTAACTCAACTGTAATTGCCATCGAACTAACGCTCCATGACTTCAATATTTTTCGTTGTATTGAACCTCAATCGTTCATTTACGATGTATTCGAGATGAGATGTAACATTGACTCAATCGACGAGAAATGTAAAAAAGAACTGAATGAATTTGAATCCCTCAGTAACAAGGAAATGTTTTGGGTAATCAACGAAATTCTCAATGAAACCAGTGTTGTCAAGAGAATCAGATTAATCAAGTATTTTATTAAGGTTGCCAATATCTGTCGTCATCTTCATAATTATAATTCTCTATTTGCTCTTCTTTCTGGCCTTGGCCATGGATCTGTTCAACGCCTAAAGACAACTTGGGATAAACTTCCCACTAAGTACAATAAGCTTTTGAAAAATCTTCAGTCACTCATGGATCCATCACGTAATATGTTGAACTATAGAAGAGAAATTAATTGTTGTGATCCACCTATCATCCCATTCTTTCCAATTGTAAAGAAAGATCTGACTTTCATCCATCTAGCTCATCCAACATTTGATGAACAAGAGTTGGTTAATTTTGAAAAACTCAGAATGATTTCCAAAGAAATTCGCAACATTATGAACATGTCTTCCTCACAATACTCCGTCGGTTCATCATACGCTAATCTACTCAACAGCCATGGTTTCAGTGTGACAAGCGCTTATGCCAATGATTACAGTACCAACAATGAAATAATGAGAGTTCCATTACCGCCCCCACCTCCAATAGCAGCGCCTTTATCGGCAACTTCCATCAAACGTATGTTTGAAGAATCTTTGATGAGGAAAAAAGTTAAACATTATTTGACGCAAAGTTTCGCTAACATCAACTATGATGAGGATGCCTTATTAGCTAAATCAATAGAATTAGAAGGAGGTCAAAGTGGATCTTTACAAGGTTCTACCAATAACTGTAGCTCTTCTCGAGGTTCTCTTAATATCAATCCATCACCAAAGCAGCCCCATCCTTCACCTACTCTCTCATCAGCCTCTTCAGGTTCATCCTCTGGTCGACTTAAATTTGGCGCTGAATCACCTCAACAGCTTCGAAAACTTTTAAGTCTCAGTGAGATGGAATACGGACGAAGCAATCATACCAAAAATCATATTCTTGCCCATCATAATCAAATATCAAGAGACCAAAGAAGCCATTTCCCTCAAATACTAGCTCTTAATAACTCATCTACTCAATCACATACAAGATCTGTTAGTGAAGGGTCATCAAATAGTTTTATGATAAACTCATCAATGCCTCGAGCCATCTCACCAACAAAATCAACAGTACCATTACCGGTGGAATCATCATCAGTCACTAGTTTAAGAAGAATTAATCAACTTCAACAAGCAGCTAATGCTTTATCCTTACAGCAGCGTGTAAAACAGACATCACAACAACCACAGCAGCAGCAACAAACTTCAACTACCTTATCATCTCAGCAGTCTCACTTAACTCATTCTCATTCTTATTCTCATTCAACTCCATTCACATACACTCAACAATTAAATAATCTAGCCAGTCATACAACGTATCGACCAAGGCCTCCTGATTATGATGAAGCTCTTTTAAGGAAACAAAAATTAGCAAATTTAGCTTGTAACACTGTTACACGCCAAGTTGTCCATCCAACACCCCCGCAGACCAATAATATACCAGTGACCAACAACCTGAAAAAGGTGCCAATGATTAAGAATAGTCTTCAGCAAGATGACAAAGTCTCTGCCGTGTGATGGAAGAAAATTCACTATCAACAAAGAAAAAAAGGATTTATACCAATAGCTATTTTATATAAATATTATACATAGTTTAAAATTTATCTATTATAAGTATTTACTTATGAAACAATTGAGAGATTGACAGTTTAATGTAAAGAGAACTGCAAAATAATGCAACTTTTAACTATGAGAAAATCAAAACGACTAAGGAACAAATTAAATTAACAGAGTCTATGGATTTATAACTTATGAAGAGATTGGGCTGAACAAAGTATCATGAAAAGGAGATGTTCACGCGACTCTGAACCAAAAGATTAATTTTCATTTTTTAAATTAGAGATCCAGCCTTTTCATTTATTTATGTATACACTAATCATCCTTACGATACACATCGCTATAATTTATGTTTTTTTCTCGTCAATCATTGCACCTGAACTTCAATCATCATATCTTTTTTCATCGCTTAAATATACTCTTAAGGAGATTTTATACTTTTACATTTACAACGATTGACCGATCTATAGAGAGTCGACTGGTTCTAAAAAATCAAATGCGATCCTTTTTTAATATTGTCTCTCTTAAAACCCTTTTTTATATGTGTATAAATATCTTAATAGCCATGGAGAATGGCTTCAATGGAAATCCAAAAGAAAACCTTATGTAAAAAGTTAATACTTTGTTTTCAACCTCTTCCATCACTTTTATTACCTACCTTGATCCTTTTCTTAATCATTTTCTACTTATTGTAGACTTACGGTGCTGTACAGTTAATCTCATTTAATGAGTCTTATATTATGCTTTTTGTACCTAAACAGAATCCTGAAACCCAAATTAAAGTGTTATTTAGGCAATTAGCATGCAAATATAAAATACTGTATTTTGTAATTTTCGCTTTTTACACTTTATCAATTGTTATATTAAAATATACGATGATAAATTGCCGATAACTTAACGAATATTATTTCAAATAAAATTATCACTCTGGTCTTCATATTAAATTGAGCGCCATATGTTGTTTACTAGTTTTCCGGGTTTATTTTGCTGCATGAATTTCCTACAAGCATCTCCATTAGAAACGCTCATCACATGGTTTTTTCTGAAAACTTTTAAGTCTAGTTGAACATATTTGTTGTGACTATTGTGACCTGTCTTTTTTTCTGTAATTGTTATTAATTGTTAAAAGTGGCCATGGCGTCACAAGAGGTAAGTTTTTCGTCATTTATATCCACTTTCTTTAAAGCATATTTAATCTTACCAATTTTTCTTTTTCAATAATTTAGGAAATCAACCTTTGTGCTGAATATTTTAAGGAAATAGCTGACAATACAGCTGTAGCTCGTAAATTCGTTGAAACTATCACAGCTAGAATTGAAAATGGTGATCTGGATATGAAACATGGGAATAATTTTTTGAATGCTCGTAATCAGCTGATGGCTGCTTACTTGACTAACTTAACTAGATTATTTCAAATCAAATCCTCTGGGTTGCAACTGGAAGGGAATCCTGTTGTAGATAGGTTAGTTGATCTTAGAGTTTACATTGAAAAAAGTCAGAAAATCTATAAAAAGATGAGTTACCAAATTGAGAAGATTTTATCTCTTGGTAAAAATGTAACCGATAAACAAAACAACCCACTCGCATTCAAGCCTGCACCACACAATTTATTAGGTAAGTTTTTGGACACAGTTGAACTTCAAATTACATTATATTGCAGGTTATATTTAGATTTTTGTTCTCACCGTTCCATTATTGTTTTTCAGATTTTGACGAAGATGAAGATGAAGAAGAAGACTATGAAAGTAATGATGAACAAAATAAATTGTCAAAATCGATAGGAACTAAAAAGAAAACCGGAAAATCGAACGTTTATATACCTCCTAAAGTTGCTGCCATGATGTATGACGATGATGAGTCTGCTGAAATAAGCAAACAAAAAGCTATTGAAAAAGCAAAGAAAAGAGCTCTGTCAAGTAACATTATTCAAGACTTACGACGAGAATATGATGAAGGTCCAGAAGAAATCTCAACTGGCTCCATCAGGAAGAGGAAGATGGAAAAGAAATTGAATGAAATCAAAGAATATGAAGAAGACAACTTTATTCGTATCACAATGAGTAAAAAAGAGAAGGCTAAATTGAAACAACCTCTGACATCCGGTAAAAACCTTGGTGATGAGATTACTCAATTTGGGGATACTTCTTTCTTAACAGCAGGAACTAGCGGAGTTAATCTGAATCAGAAAACTAAATCTAAAAGCAAGCCAAAAAACAAATCAATCAAAAAGAAAAGAGGTAAAAGAAAATTCCGAAAATGATTTTAATCATTATCTCGACTCTCGATTAAAGTTTATTTACAAACCAAAACACTATTTGTAAATATTTAAAGTATTTTGCTGTACTTTCTTTGCAAATAAATCACGAAAAAAATGCAATAAAGATTTGTAAATTGAAATTACTCTTTCAATGATCTTTAAACTGTCATCTAACCTCTGTTTCCATTATTTTAATCAATCAGTCAGAGATCAGACCAATCTGACCTGAGCAATAAAACCAAAGATACCATCTGCTTTTTTAGGTTTAACAAAGTTACTTTTTCAAAGACGTGAGTTTTTTTTCGGTCTCAAGCAGCTTAAAGAGCACCGCCAAAGACCTAACTTTTGTCAAAGAAGCTGCTACTGCCATCTCCTGACTAATAAATTAGTTAAAAAGACAGACGTCTATTCTCAATGAATTTTCTTACTTCAATGATAAAATAGTCCCTATTTAGTTCTTTTGTCCGATAAGATGGCGCTAAGCATCATGCCATAAGCAAAAATTTGGAAAGAAGACTTTCTGGATCTTTTTTTGTGATTTTTTTTATATTTTCAGAGCAATTTAGATTCACTTTTAAATCGTTTTTGTTTACAGTGTATTTATAATTGTAAGAAGGTTAATATGGCTAAAAGTCACAAAGATTGGAATCTGGCGTGTAAAGTGTATATTGGTAATTTGAGTGAAAATACTTCTAGAGCTGAAGTGGAAAATGCATTTGCTTGGTATGGGCCTTTGAAAAATGTTTGGGTAGCAAGAAACCCTCCCGGTAAGATTGTTTTCACCTTTTTTATCCATACAATCTAATTAGTCAAATATCACACATTATTTTTTTAATTTACTACGTTGTTTCCTATCAACTCGTTCTAATCTATTTTTTGATTTATTGGCTTGATTAGGATTTGCTTTTGTTGAATTTGAGGATAGTAGAGATGCTGAAGATGCTTGCCGTGGACTGGATGGAACTAGAATCGGTCCCTCAAGGGTTAGAGTAGAAATGTCACATGGCAAGTCCAGACGTGGAGGTCCGCCTGGTGCCCGCCGTCGTGGTGGCGGTGGAGGTAGAGGCATTCCATTTGAAAGAGACGGCCATGACGCTAGAGATGGTAGAGAAATAAGAGAACGACGTGATCATGGAGCTGAACCTAAAAGGTAAAAATTTTATTAAATTGAACAAGACATCTAATTTTATCTCTTTTTCAGACGCAGAGAAGAACCATATCGTAAACCACGGTCTGTTAGTCGATCCCCATCAAGATCATTTTCCCGATCTCGATCAAGGTTTGTTCTTTGTCAGTTCTTAGCTTCTATCATCAGCATCCTCAGTCTTCAATCTACAATCTTCAAATTTCATCACCAGCCTTTTTGCTTCTCATCGCTTCAACATCATCTTTTAATGACTATTTTCAAAAGTAAAGAATTGTTATTCAAGAAAAGAAATATTAGTTTTTCAACCGCACTCTCAACGATCATCAACTGACTTCTAGTCAACTCAAACATTATTTCCTCATCCAATTTTATTGAGATTCATCGTTAGCTCAACTTTATATCAGCTTCACCAATTCACATCAGCATCCCTCTAATTGATGATAAGTATGGAATCAAAGGGCGAAAAAGGCCGCTTCTTTCACCCCTTTCCTGTTTCAACTGCTTACCCTCAACGATAATCAACTAGCATCTATCATCTATCATCTTTATACCTTTATCTCTGATCATCTGTTCATCTGTCCATATATTCATCTAATCATCTATCTCATCCACCACCTCAATGCCTAAGTGAACAGCTACATAATTTGTTATTCCTTCTACTCTTTTTTTCTGCCATCATCAGATCACCAGCAGTTAGACGTAAAGGAACAGCTAGACATGTTCGATCAATTTCGAGAGAACGACGACGATCTCCACCTCCTGGATCACCATCTCCTGTCTACCGATCACCGCGCTCCAATCGATCTCCACAATCACCAAGATCGCCAAGGTCTCCCCGGTCTCCGAGATCACGAATATGATTCTAATCAAATGTCAACATTTCGCGTCAATCTTCCCATTGTGCTACTTTCTCTTTCTTCTCAACTTCAATCAACCTGTGAATCCTTGATTGAATTTAGTAGAAATTTTTTTTTCTACTCAAATCACATTTAATCACAATTATGCTTATAATTACGATTAACCTTTTTTCATTTTTTCCTTCCATAGGTAAAGTCTCACTTTTCTGTTCATTTTAAATTGATCACGAATAAACATGATAAACACTCGACTATCATGCTGACATAAATGCTATAAGTATTACTAACCTTGACTTTGATCAGCAAAATCTTTATCGAAGGAAAATTGATTAGTGTCGAATATGTATTGCGATTATTGTATTTGTGTCGCTATCGAAAGAGTACGATGTGACCAAAGAAAGACTCTTAAATACTAAATTTATAAGAACAATTATTTCTCTGGTGTTTACTTTCAACCGATTCATTTGATCAACTTAAAAAATAAGGATAAATACAAAATTTAATGAGTGGATCAAGGGGCAAAATTTAATTATTCAATTCAGCACATCTTGATTTGAAGATTCTCTTAAATCTAAGAATGACTCATTTCAAATAAAACATGGATTCAGTAGTATACATAAGAGAAAAGAAAATCAAAAAGATGATGAAGATGAAAGAAGAAAATATGCGAATGAGTGTGAATTTATATGAAGAGAAGCAACAGAATCTATAGTACAAAAGATAGGTATTTTCATGTGTTATATCATCATCATTAGATTATTGAATATGACTTTTGCTGGTATTTATAAGGTTTATTAGAAATTTCTTATAGCTCTAATCGCAACTGGCGCAACTAATTTGTGGTAAGCTTTCCTGAAGGAATAAAACCGCAATCACCAACAGTATAAACAGATACTCGACCGCTTGGACGAATGGCAATCCATGTCATACTACAATTGTGAAGAGAAAACCGTAACCATGCCTCTGGAGGTAATTGTAATGCTCTGCACACAAAATAACGAATGACATTTGCATGACAGACGAAAATTTCGTAACTGTCCTCTTTTTGATCAGGCTTTGCACGATAGAAATATCTTCGGAAGGCAGCCTCTATCCTTGGACCATCAGTGAAAGCTCTAAGATTATCTACTTCTTTGTAACTTGAAGGCTCCGGGACGATAGGTAAACCTTCGCGAAGCAAGTCACTACTAGAAACAGGAATATCGGGCAATTCTTTACTGATTATCTGAGCTGTTTGTTTGGCTCGGGTCATTGTTGACTGAACAATTTGAGAATAGGGAAGATTAAGTTCCTTCAATCGTTGAGCAGCAAAATAAGCCTGTTGACGGCCAAGATCTGTTAAGGTTCTTTCTTCATCTGTTTTACCGTTGAGAGCATATTGACCATGACGTATGAATAATAAATGTCGACTTGCTATGACTTTGGCTTTCTGTAATTTTTCTTTAGAAGCATTTTTATCACCATCTGCACGAAATTTACCTTCCAATGTCTTCATTAATGTATCAGATTGCCTACGATCCCAATTGAAGTCCCATTTATGTGAGACTGGAGGCTCGTAAAAATATCTTGGATTATTTATATAATGATCATAGAATGCTGATGCTTTGATGAATGCTTTATCCTCATCTCCACCCATAATAGCCCACACAGCGGCTCCAGCACCCGCTAATCCGATCCCGAGAAGTAACTTACGGGATCCTTTTAACAGAGAGCTCATTTTAGATTATTAATAAACAAAAGAAATGGAAATGGTAGAGAGCTTGAGGTTCACCGGAATGGTTGTAATGGTTGTCCCAAACAGCTAGCACTTTTAACTATTCTGGGTTATATAGACGAATGAAGTCTTGAGTAAGATTTTGGTACAATAAAAGAGAGCAAATTTAAAAGAAATAATTAACAAGGTTAATCAACACAATTGCTAGTACCTTGTTGAATTTCAAGGGTATTTTGATGGTCACATGGCAACACTTTATACTCCAAATTTAACCCAGCAGATTTAAGATTAAATTAAAAAATACGGAAGATTTAGGGATCCGATTCTCAACTACAGTCACCTTTAAATCAAATAAATTATTACTGAGGTAATTAATTCACCGCAAACATGTTAATTAATAAGGGAAACATTTCGATGAAATTTTAGTGGTTTACAAGAAAAACAGGGACCATTTCGTAATAAAAAGATGCTTAATGCAATAAAAATTTTACGATTTTCTTTCCAATTGATGTCATTGATCAAAATAAATTGATAATCATAGCTTTTTAAAACACATTATCAGTTCATTGATTTTATTTTTAATTTCTTCCAAGAATACAATAGCTATCAACCTTACTTTCAGTGCCGATAATTCAGAGAAATTAAAGAAGTTAATAATGAGGTTAACTAACTGTCGTTAAGCGATCAAAGTAAGTAAAGTATGCTTCATCAATTACCTGTGCCGCCACTATATGGCACCACCTTTCAATGTTGTGATTTCTGTTTTAATTTTTTGATTGAGTTAAGTCTGCTAATTTTTCTTTTATTTGTGATTTTTGCAACAGTTAAATACTCTGTAATTGTTCTTTGAAACTAATCTAACAATTTCACCAAATGAATTAATTTCCTTTTTGATCTTAAAACAATGAGTGAACACAAGAAAAAGATTGAAATATAACTCATCACTTCAATGATTGGACACTCTGAGATTGGAAATCCTTCATCGATAGGCGAATCTGTCTGAAAGATTTACACTTGTTATTTTACATCATGTGAAGAAATGATCAACTGACTTTCCTGAAGTAAACTTCATTTTCTGAATAAAGAAATAATATTTGAATTCAAGCCAAAAATTGAATATGGATAAACTTGAAGTGTAATAATTCAGAAACAGCTATGAAGCAAAATAATTTTGAAATAATTTTATCTAACTTGTAAACCAAAAGAAAAGTTCAACTCATCGGATTAATTTAATAACTTTTTTATTTAACTATCTAACTTTTGAAACTCTATAAGAGTAATGACAATATCTAAATCCAACACAGTCAAGTCCTCAACTCCCTCTTATGCTCCAAATTTTTATCTCAATATTTCAATTGTTACTTTAAAATTTCATGCTGAACTTTGGATCTTGAATCTAGTCTATCTTTTTGGATTTGCTGTATCTTTATCGAATTATATCGTAAAAGCACAGCCTGTTAGTCGATCTCCGTCAAGATCGATTTCTCCGATAAAGATTTGTTCGTTATCAGTTCCTAGCTTTGGGTCATTATTTGTTGTTTTCTAGCCGTTGCATGCTCTCACAAATTATCAAGTTAGCCAATTAAAATAATCCTTAAAAGTTATCTCTTTATCCACGTTTGTGTAATAATACTTCACTTGGCCTAGTTCAGCAATTAAACAATAACAACGACAAAAGTCAATGCATTTGCAATTTTTACATGTAAATCAACAATTAGATGCATACTCAAAAACATTAATATTTGTTTTTATTGATGAAGGAAATTAAACCAATTTAATGAGCAATCACATCATATATGATCTATGAAAATTTATGCATAAATCTAAATTGTTTAGTAAATAATCGATTCCAAGCAAATTGAGAAACTATTTAGGTTATCAAATAAACATAATTCCGTGATATAACTTACAAATTGGGAGTAAATTTTGCAATAATTAGTTAATCCTAAAATTATCGGAAAATAGGTTAAATAAATAGCTTCTATAATAGTGATTTGCTCAGTCAATTAAATTCTTGCTTCAATTTTATGCCTTAGTAGGAATCAATACACAATCAATATGCATCAAGTATATAATTAGCAACAAGCTTTCAAGCAATCCTTCCTTCTCGATTGATTATTATTATCGAGATAATCTTGTAAATTAAAATTTGACTTTCAAAATCAATTTTCCAATATTTTTTCTGATAATACTTGATCTGAGCGAATCACAGTAATATATATTAAATCAAGAACTTTTAGTCCAGATCAGAGTATCCAAGCTTTTTACACGCCAATATATTAAGTTATGGGCGACTAACAAATTAGTGGTAAATCTATTTGTGAGGAATGGTCAACATCTGAAATAACTAGTTATTTGGTCATTATTTTTGCAAATTGCCTCTCCACTTGAGAATGTAATAAGTAAGAACACGTCCAATAACAAGAGTTATTATGAGTGCATAAATGGATCTAGAAAAATGGGAATCATCTAAATCATAATAGGCCATTGCTCCTGATTGATTCTCCTCATTGAACCAACGTCCACCAATACCATGTAAGATATTACGAGTCAAGTCACTGGTTTGATTTTTTAGTCTTAAATCTTCTGGTTCATCATTACTTTCAGCAAGCGCAAATCGAGCCATCCTGAACATTGTATTCAAGAAAAATCCCAACTGATTACGGGCATTGACCATTGCTCGAGTTAGCTTCGGGTCACATCTATAGACAAGAAACAGGAAAAAGGTAAAAGGTAATTGTGGATAAACTGACATTATTATTGAAATAAGCTAATCTTATTGATTAATTGCACTAATCATGATGAGAATCATAACAATAGATAATAATGTTTCATTGCTGTTTCAAGGGCTGTCACATTTAATTTCAATGGAAATAATAGATTCTATTTTCTCATTACAATTAATGCAATAATAGCAATGAAAATAATATGGCCATTAGTACTATTCGGGCAAATTAAAATTGATAATTAAATAATTTTATATTTTCAAGAAAATTACAATTAGGTTAATAATTATGATTGACCTTATTCTTAAGTCTCGTAACCAACTACAGATATACTAGCTTTATGCCATAAAATATTGTTTAATGGTTAGAAGTTCACTTTCTCTGTTCATTTCATATTTATCACGGAAGAATGATTAACTATTGACTATCATGCAGATTTTAAATCATATAACTAGCATTGACCGTGAATTTAATTGCCATAGCTCTTATAACAGTTGAATAATAAATTCATGTCAAAAATATAAGTAACTTAGACAGGTACAGAAAATTATGAAATGACTAATTTGCATTCAGCACAACAATTTCAGTTTCGAAAGGTAGACGAATAATCTGGTAAATTACATTTTAAATCATAACAGAAATCGATTTTACTACCTGTGCTAGAACTCAGATGAGGGCCAATTTGGTTATAATCAAAAAAGGGGAAAATTGTTTAAAATACTTAAGCTCAAGCACTTTACATAATGAAGTTGTATTAACAAGATTTTTATTAGATTTGAACAATAAATAATTATTTACCTGTTAAAGCCAAATAGCGCAGTTATAAATCCTTCAAAACCAAATCGTAAATATGAACAATAAGAAGCATAACGGAAAATAATTGGCATTGCCTTTTGACGAATAAAGAAACCAGAGAAAAGTATCAGTGGAACTGTAGTATTTGGAGCTGTAAACACCGAGGCGACAATATTATTCATGAGGAAAGCACCACACATAATCCCATGAGTTTGTGCGACTATAGAGACAAGGAAATAGACTAGAAGAGTATCGAAATACCTGGGCCAGGGCTGATTAGTGAAAAAGAATTGTAGCGTCACAACAACCAAGTTGGTTCCCATGATGAATGGTACTTCGGCTAATCCCTTAGCCATGTAATATGAGCTTGTCTTGTACCAGCCGTTGTACCTTTCTTTAGCAAATATTTTAATCTCCATTGGAATAGCAACAGCCATTGGCATTAGATTAGCAAGACAAGAGTAAAGTAATAAGAAGTACAATGATCCAATGTTATCCTGAGTTGATCTTATTTGCTCCTCTATGGCGTCTTTAGCTTCATCTATGTGATCCAAGTCAGCCTTATCCCTTATATCTGGTGTACAGCCATCGTAAACGCCGATACCTCTGTAAAGTGTTCCAAGTGTTATTGCTATGTTAAAAGCAAACACGAAACGTAATACTCCTAATAAGGGATCACGAACCATTACCAAGAATTGTCTTGATAAAAGGATTAAAAAGTGTTGAGTAAATGGAGCAACTGGACGAACACGACATGCATTTAGTGATGTGAAATCTTCTGGTTCTTCAATTGGTGATGATTTGGTCACATCTCCGCCTTGTGAATTGATTAATGGTAGTGAACGAGCTAACCAGGTTGGACCAAAATTTGAATCGTTTTGATTATTGTCCACATTGGCTGCCATTGAGTGTATAACCTCAGATCCATAATCACCTGATGCTACTTCAACAAGCAAATCAGCTGGATTATAAAATTGTGAACAGTTAATGTTGTGCTGACTCAGTGCTGCAACAACACCATCAGGTGAACCCTCGTAAATAAATTTACCAATCCGGGATAACATGTAAACCTTGTGGAACATGTTGAACACCTTTGCCGAGGGCTGATGAATGGTCATAACAATGGCAATGGGTGATGATGAGGTTAAATTGGACAACATTTCCATTAATTGATAACACGTTGATGAATCCAAACCAGATGTTGGCTCATCCATGATCAATATATCCGGATGAGAAACCAATTCCTGAGCAATGGACACTCGCTTCAATTGGCCTCCACTGATTCGATCGATTTTCGTGTCGGCACAAGTATCTAGGTTAAGCTGGCGAAGTATTGATTCAACAATATTCATGTGATCAGTTTTGTTCAAGTTTGTTTTAACGCCATTTATGGTACGTGAATGTTGAAGCTCTGAAGCATAAATCAAAGCTTCCCGGACAGTTAACAAGCCATACAGATGATCATGTTGCGGAATGAACGCAATGGATATTTTGTCACGACCAACACACCTTATTTTACCCTCTAAACCCTTTATCCTCATTCCAGCGATGCACTCAAGTAAAGTAGATTTACCAGCACCACTTGGACCCATAAGAGCAGTCAACATGCCACTAGAAAATGATCCCTGTACTGATCGTAAGATGGTCCGTGAATCTGTAGTATACTTAATCCCACGTACTTTGTTGATTACCTTTTCAAAAGTGGACATTTTTACACGATAAGTCAATTGGTTCCAAGAGATTGTAAAGCTCTTCGTTTCTTCCATCGGAACTTCAATAATTCTTGAATGATTTTTTTGTTGATGATCACTGGTATCATTGGCTGGTCCATTAATTGAACCATCAGTCAAACCCTTGCCCGTTGTCACCTTCAAAGCGTCAAATATTCTTGGTGAGGTCATCTTATTATTTTCACGCTCATTAATAATATTATTCCTTTCAACTTGACCAATTTCGTCTTTTTTCTCTTCGTTCACTTCACAGTTAATATCAGATTCAATGTCGCCCTCACCAGATGAATCAATTTCTTCCTTTGCGTCCAGAGTTTCAATTTTGGTCAACGTATTGTCGACTGATTCAGAAACAATACTTGTCATAATTGTTCAAATGTACTGATCAGTGTCACTGTTTCATTTCCACCTAAAAAAATAATCAGAAGGTAATTTTTAAAGTTGTTTAGGAAAAGTTTCTTTTATTCAAAAATCGATTCCCTCAATTATTTTTCTTCCTTACTCAACGTACTTTCTTTTGTTGATCAACTCAAATTTTATTTTATTTGGTTCAACTAAGTTTTCATTTGTCATGATCAAGTTCAAAAGAAGACAAAAAATAGTCATTAAATTGATGAAAAAGAAGGGAAATCAAGAATCGCATTCATTCTTGTTTACCTTTTTATTAATACATATTCCCTGGCTTATTCCGAGTTTCGATCAACTTGTATTTTTGATTCTCTTTATAAGACAACATTCAAAGAATCACGATTTAAACCAAAGACGTTCAAAGCTACCATTGAAATGATTGATTAATAATGATCAACTTAAATCTTCTCATCAATGTTTTCCCATCATGCATGTACATCATGTATTAGCTCAATGCTTTTTCTTTCGTTTCCAATCGAAACGAAAGTCTTTTCTTTTTAAAGTTCAAGAGCAACATTGAAAATCAACCGATTCAGAATTACATTTAACCCTTTCTCAAGACAATCTTTAAAATTTATTGGTCTGGAGATGTTGAAACTATTTTTTTACCCGAAATTTCCCATAACTGTAATGGTAAGCCAACAACTGACTAATCAATCATCATTTAGGATAGATTCAAAATAAACTTAAAGAAGTTAATTATTCGGATTATTGATTAAAGCGATGAAACCTATTAATAGCAAGCTTTGCTGAGAACAATCCAGATGGGATGATTTTTGGCTGCAATTAAACGCATCAATTATCATCTACTTTATTGGACTTGAATTTACCATGAATCGTTAAGCCTTTTCGGATTAATTAAAGTTACCCGATTCTTAGCTGTATTATAATATGTAAGTTTGATTAATAAAATATCATTTAAATCTCGATATATCGATATCCCAACCATAATGACCTTAAATATTTGTCTTTTTGATTTTAGCTGATTTATCACATCGATTTTGCTATATGTGACTTGCATCCCAGTAATGATACAATTTTCAAGTAAACCCAAACTTGACCTAAACCCGAGGGAAAAGTCCGAGTGTTTCATCTCATAACTTTGAGAATGTGGACTGTAAGTGAACCATCGGCCCAACCCGGCGCAGCATTGACAGCTCCAGTTCAAATTCAAGTTCCAGGTCTTCAAGTGGTTTCCACTGGTCTTGGTCAACCCACTGAAGTTCTTTGTTTGATGAATATGGTTACTTCTCAAGGATTATCTGATGATGAAGAATATGATGATATTCTTAAAGATATCGAAGAAGAATGTTCCAAATATGGTGTTGTTAGGTCTATCGAAATACCAAGACCCATTCCAGGTGTCGAAATACCAGGTGTTGGTAAAGTAAGTAAAATTTTTCGTCTTCTAACGCTATCGTTAAATGAATAATGTTTAAAAATGTTAACAATTTTTTCTTTGCTTTTCTAGGTGTTTGTCGAATTTAGTACGATACCTGAATGTCAAAGAGCACAACAAGCTTTAACTGGACGCAAATTTTCGGACAGAGTAGTGGTCACATCATTTTTAGATCCAGATAAATATCATAGACGACAATTTCAATGATTTTCAATTTAATTTACTAAACTTTGATCTCTTCACATTTTTCATGACATCCTCTTTCTATTCAGTCTCACACCTCGTTTCATCTTCAGCTCAAATAATTTTGTTTTATATTCTTTCACAAAATTACTTCATCAGTTCGAGGATTTGATTCCAGCACGAATTGATTGCCCTAAAATGGCAATGAATAAATTAACTCGATCACCAAAAAAACCTAACAAGAGCAAAATTGAGTTAAGCATGCATCTTAATAGAGATCGTACTTTCCCTTAGCGTATGTGCCATACCATCGGATGAAATTAAAATAACTTTTGACCAGAAGATAAACCAATGAAAAAAACACGTTCCATTGAATCATCACAAATGTACACAAAATTTCATCGAAACTTCAAAATTATCTTAATTTAACACATTTTTTACCATCTTTTGCTTATTCACCAGGAATCCTCCACTTAAAGATCCAAGCAGAAACTTGCCAAAGAATCATATTAGTGTTTGATTTTGAGAATTGAATTTTATTTTGCAGCACAAAGAATAGATGATGTTAATCACTGGTGAACAAGTTTTAGGCTCCTATGAGTGTTTCATCTACCAATTGAATTACTATGGAATGAATCCCGTTGAGTTGCTAGGGAATACAAGATTTATTAATTTCAACTCCTTTCTGTCCTTTATTCAATTTGTAATTAAAATCTTAAAACAAGGCCTTCATGTAACTATAGTTAGTATCGAGTTTGTAATTAATGGACTTGTTACTTACAGAATTTCCAGTCAGGAAGAAACACGATTCAATTACATTATTTTAACACTTTTTTAAATTATTCGAGAATCTGATGTTGCTTTACTTTATAATAAAATATCATTTAAATCTCGATATATCGATATCCCAACCATAATGACCTTAAATATTTGTCTTTTTGATTTTAGCTGATTTATCACATCGATTTTGCTATATGTGACTTGCATCCCAGTAATGATACAATTTTCAAGTAAACCCAAACTTGACCTAAACCCGAGGGAAAAGTCCGAGTATTTCATCTCATAACTTTGAGAATGTGGACTGTAAGTGGACCATTGGCCCAACCCGGCGCAGCATTGGCAGCTCCAGTTCAAATTCAAGTTCCAGGTCTTCAAGTGGTTTCCACTGGTCTTGGTCAACCCACTGAAGTTCTTTGTTTGATGAATATGGTTACTTCTCAAGGATTATCTGATGATGAAGAATATGATGATATTCTTAAAGATATCGAAGAAGAATGTTCCAAATATGGTGTTGTTAGGTCTATCGAAATACCAAGACCCATTCCAGGTGTCGAAATACCAGGTGTTGGTAAAGTAAGTAAAATTTTTCATCTTCTAAATGAATAATGTGTAAAAATGTTAAAAAATTTTTTTCTTTCGTTTGTCGAATTTAGTACGATACCTGAATGTCAAAGAGCACTACAAGTTTTGACTGGACGCAAATTTTCGGATAGAGTAGTGGTCACATCTCCTTAACGTATGTGCCATACCATCGGATGAAATTAAAATAACTTTTGACCAGAAGATAAACCAATCAAAAAAAACACGCTCCATTGAATCATCAAAAATGTACACAAAATTTCATCGAAACCACAAAACTATCTTGATTTAGCACATTTTTTACCATCTTTTGCTTATTCACCAAGAATGCTCCACTTAAAGATCCAAGCAGAAACTATATCTTGCCAAAGAATCATATTAGTGTTTGATTTCGAAATTTGAAGTTGGTTTTGCAGCACCAAGAATAGATGATGTTAATCACTGGTGAACAAGTCTTAGGCTCCTATGAGTGTTTCATCTACCAATTGCATTACTATGAATGAATCCCGTTGAGTTGCTAGGGAGAACAAGATTTATGAATTTTACCTTCTTTCTGTCTTTTATTCAATTCGTAATTAAAATCTTAAAACAAGGCCTTCATGTAACTATATTTAAGTTGATTCGTAAATCGGTAAGTAATAATTTATTAATAGTAATTAGACATCTATTAATCCTTCAATCTTTTCATTTCAGATAAAACTTGCAATTGAAAGATGATGATGATGCATAATTTAATTGGAAAGGCAGTTTAAGTCAAAATTATCATTTGGTAGGCACAATATTGCATCTAATTTCAGCCTAACTGAAAATTTCAACTATTAAATCATAATTATTATTAAATTTAGCTTTCATGGCTAAGATAATTAATCCAAGATGAACCTAAAAGGCTACAACTCTGAAGGTTGCTTTTTAACCAATTGAATCCTATTAAAATCCTGTAAAATTGCTGCTTTAACCACGTCTATCTGATTTCAATTGAGACGATCGACTGGAAACAAACGGCTCTTTTCCTGGAATCCTTTAGTAACACGGTAAACCAACTAAATCAGTGGACCTACAGAAAGACGGAAAGAGTCTTTGGTCAACATGAAATATTACAATTAACTTTTGACAGCAACTGATCACTGTTGACCAACTCAATTTAAATCCAATAATGTGTTGACATTAGATGAGAGTTACAAAATAGCCTGAAAAGTGTCCAATTAGTTTTGAAATGCGATAAATGATTAAAGTAAAAGTCAAAACAATAAGCTTGAAAACGTTACATTTTACTGCAACAATGGACTTCATCTATTAATACTTTTGGTCAGTCAAGTAGATCAAATTTTCAGATTTCAAAATATTTATCCCAAATATAATGAAGCAAACTCATTTACTTGAAATGTAAATTGTTAAAAAGGAAGCAAAAAAGCATTCTTTTTATGGGCACCAATAAGCGTTATTTTTGAATGCTTCATCTCTAACTTGCAATTGCAATTAACAATAAGCTTAATTAATATTGAAAAAAATGAAAAATTAGCTTATTGTCGCAATTTCACTTCGGCCTACTTCCTTGGACAATACAGTTGGCCACACTTGCCATTTGACTACTTGTGGTAAAGATTGAATGTATCAGGTCAGTATCAGAATATTAAGTTACAATTAGATTTCAACTTTTATTGTATTCCAACTGAAATGATGATTATTTTTAGGTTAATTAAAAGATTGACTTCAAGTCAACCAGAAATGGGTGGTCAAGATGGGCGAGACAATAGAGTTAGCTTGATATCTCCATTTAAAAAGGAAACTTTCACTACCAGTTTGATTCTTTAACGTCTCAACTGTTTAAAACAAATCATCACCTATGATACAAATAAAAGTGAATACATTTAAAGTAAACGGTAAAATGGTATTTTTTAATCAGTGATTAACTCCAACATTTATCCACAATTTTCATACAATTATTTACAACAAATCTCCAAATTTAAACAGTTAATAAATTTTGTCAAGTTTAGTATCAAATACAACCATGAAGCTTCAATTGAACATTAACCATGGATCTATATTTATGTTAACAGTGATGCTGTTAATAAGTAATCTAGGTTACAGCAATGGCCATTTCCATGGACTTCACCATCGACGAAAAGTTGAATTTGCCAAAAAAATTGGTTTAGTGCTTTTCCTTGCAGCCAAGAATAAGAAACTGATTCTTCCCTTACCATTGCCTTTACCATTGCCAATACCGTAAGTCTCTTTAAATTTACCAAATTAATCATCTTGATTTTTCCAGATTGTAATTGTTTCCTTCAATCATTCCAGAATCTTCAAGAGTTACCAACCTGTGATTCATGACCCATTACTTTTCAAACATCAAGCCATCAAACATCACATTGGTAGCCATTTAGCTGGAGCCACTGGATTGGGTTGATGCATCTATTGCAGCCTATTTTAATTATAATCAATGCAAGCTAATTTGGAAGCAAATTGTAACTCTGTATCATAATTTATAAGCTAAATATTTCTCAAGACTTGACTACTCGACATTGCTGGAAGTTGATCAATGTAAACCTTTTATTCATAAAAAATTCTTTGAATGTCCAATTATGAGTCAATTGGATCATGTTTGGTCAATGTCTTATTGTTCATTGGATAAACTAAACTATGAAAATAGAGAAAAAATTGTCAAAAAAGTTGAATTTTCCGAATAAAAAATCAAGTGAATTGAATGTTTTTGTCACAAAACTGTTGTATTTAAATTAGAAATTAGCGTTTTACAGTTTAACCGAATGATTCTTCTATTTAGTAAACAAAGAGTCCAATTACAGTCTTACAATTTACTTTATATTGATAATAATTAAATCAATTGTAAATAAATTAAGGTTTAGTTTGCGATTGAGTTGGTGATCGTTACTATCTTTATTAAGATAGATTATGTTGAGTGAATGGGATTGATATAAGGATGGGTTTATCAGCTCAAAATCATGGCCTTTTGTTTTTCATCGAAACAATCCCAATGAATCCATCAAATTGTGTGTTATTAATAACAGTAATTATAACAATAATAAAGATAATAATAATAGTAATAATAATAATCATAATAGTAATAATATTAAAGTGATCAACCTGCAGATTTGTGGACACAAAATGGACGTTCAACTCATATGAAGGAAAACAAATGATTTAAACAAATCATCAGTCTCAACAAACTCGACTTTTGGTATTTGATTTTTTCTTCTATTATTGTCATCAGAATTGTTGATTTCGGTAAATTGTTAAAGGAAATCATCCAAAATAAAGGATAAACGGTAAAAAGGTGACTTTTTGTATTCATAATTAAACATGACATCTTGATTGTTGGCAGTTTCATTCACAAGCTGGTCTCATTAATCAATATTTGTTGTTTTCTCGTGTATGTTTAAAGCTTTCAAATTACTGTAAAGTCCTTTCCAATTAGTCAATTTGATGACATTTTGCATGACTTTATAAATAATTAGACAAAAAAAGAGTGATTAACATAATTTTTTGTTTACCAATGTTAATCTGATTCTTGCGTATGACTTCAAGTTTTACCTAAATTCACAATTTCAGTTAAAATCTCCACTTTTTTGATGTTGATGATGATCGGGATGAAGAAAGATGATGAGAAATTATTATGGTGATGATGATGATGTTAATGAAGGGTAAGCGATGAGTACAATGTTCAAGGGACTAGACTAGAGTATAATCAATTAATGGACAGTAAACTAATCATCAGCAACCGATGAAAATCTCATCAATAATTACGGTTACCCTATTAAAAGCAGCCCAAGAACAATTGTAACGACATTTGCAGAGATTAATATTAATCAATCAAGATTCGTTTGGGGTTTTCCGATTCAACATGTATTTTCAAAGTTATAATATGCAATTTCATGCATAAGGTGAGTGAGTGTCATAAGTATAATATATATATAAGTGTATGTATAATTATCTACAGAATCGGCTGTTCCTTGCTCTTTAATTAAGTTATTATAATTATATCTTCGTCAAGCCGTTAGATTTTTTTCATTGTTTTTGTAAATTTAGTGTAACGCAACAGAGGAGAGAAAGAGAGAAAGGGAAGGCGAAAAAAAAGAGACAGAAAGAGAAATAGGAAGAAAAAAAGGGCAGAGAGAAAAAAGGAGATTAAAATGCGTGCAAAGGCATTTTATCAAATTTCGGATCATTATTTTAATTACTCGTTGGCACCCAAAGCGTTATTACCAATGTGGGAATTTATATCTTGATTCCTTGTATATATTTGTTGCTGATGGTAACAATGGTGATGACGAATGATGATTGATGATGAAATTGATGAGAAAGATGATGAAAACTGGTGGTGATAGTGATAGTGATAGTGGTTTTATGATAATTATGATGATTTTGAGGAAGCATCACCACTGGGATTTAGTTCTTGAGAGCTTGTACTGGTGGGTATGTTAGTCATAACTGTGGATACACTACTTGAGTCGTTTGATGTGATTTCCGCATTGCTTGAGGATGTCGACATGGTTGAACCAGAAGTTGACACTGGTAGACCACCAGTCCCTCGTACATGGGGAGGTATGAGTTTTGAATTCAGCGAAGGCTGAATTTTCAATTCTGAAATAAAGTAAGGTATTAATCTAATTTTTTACTTGCCAATTTGTATACATAGAAAATTTTAAGGACAAGTAAGAAAACAAAGAAAAGGGAAAACAAATCGGAGAAAGAAGGAAAAGAGAGAATTTAAAAAACGCGAATTGGAAGATAAGTATAAGGAGAGAAAGGAAAAGATGGTGGAAAGAAAAAAGCGAAAAGTAAAAAAACTTGAATGAAAGCAAAGGCTTAGCAAATCCAATTATGAAAAGAGTCTCTAATAATTAATGATAAATAATAATTCATTCATTCTCTAATAAATACATCACTGAATGAGAGGGTAAAGGAAATAAGAATGAAAATTTACAAATAATGATATCGATGAGAAGTGCCATATTAAATCAATTTATACTAAGAAAGGTAAACTAAAAGTCTAATTTATAAATATAGAAATTAATCAACATGAAAAAAAGCACAGGCAACAAGGTAATATAGAAAGACAGGTCAGGATGTAACAATTCAATTTATAACTAAAGTTTCATACCATGTTCAGTAAAATTGAAAAGCGGGGGTAAGTCACCAGATTTAGGGTAGTGTCTGAAATTAGGATCTCGTATTTCATCAAAAAAGTGATGAGCACAAGCTTGTAAAGGCGTTATCCGTTGCGAAGGTGTATACTCTAGTAATTTGGAAACTAGATCGATTGCATCGGGTGGTGTTCGAACTCTGAAAACCTAAAAAACGAAACGAAATAAACGATCAGTAAGGGGCAAATTTTAGAGTAGAAATAGATTAAATAGAAAATCTACCTTTTGCCAAGGATGAGCTTTAATCTGAGGAAATCTGAATTCTGTATAATTGCGATTCATCTCCTTTATCTGCTCTTTCGTCGGAGTGCCAAGGACTTTGATTATCTCAACAAGCTGGTCAACACCAGAGTCGCCTGGAAAAATAGGCTGCCCAAGGAGCAATTCAGCTAATACACAGCCAGCAGACCAAACGTCTTAACAAAATGAAAAAAACGCAATTAAAATTTGAAAGGTCAAAACAGAATACTCAAGTACTTACCTATCATAGTTGTGTAATCTGTAGCACCGAATATCAGCTCCGGAGCTCGATAATAGCGAGAACAAATGTAGGAAACATTTGGTTCACCAACGACAAGATGTTTTGCACTAGAAAAATGTAGAGATTATAGATTAAGAAAATGTGCAAAGCTAGGTTAAAGATTTTCTTACCTTCCAAAATCACATAGCTTCAATACACCAGTCTCTGGATGTAAAAGCAGGTTTTGTGGTTTAATATCGCGATGACAAATTCCTAAAGAATGGATGTATGCTAAACTTCTGAATAGTTGATACATGTACAGCTTAATGAGTGACATGTCTATATGGACCTTCTGTTTACTGTGATGCCTTGCAACTCGATAAACCGTTTCAGGGATGTATTCTAAAACCAAATTTAAATAAATTTCGTCTTTCTAAAAGTGTCAAGAGAGTGGAATAGTAAAAATAAGGAATTAAAATAAGTAAGCAATGCAGGAAATCATTATGGTCAATTTTTCCAAAAACACTTGGTTAAATGCATTTTAGGAACAATATAATGATTCAAATCAAAATAAAATAGCGTATTAAAAACTAAAAAGGAACTAATACTAGTATACCTTTACCTTGTCCCCAGATGTATAAAAGAAGTATTTTAATTTCACGATATTACAATGGTCCAGTCTACGCATAATTTGAAGCTCTCTATTTTTGAACCTCTTGTCTTGTAACACTTTTTTTATGGCTATCATTTCGCCAGTATCGGCGAGTTTTGCCGAATACACAACACCAAACGAGCCATTGCCAATTATCTTTGAATTTGTATATGTAATAGATACAGGTCGCTCAGGTCCTTGGCCTGGAGTTGCGAGAACAGTATTAACATCTTTCTCATTTGCTTTACCTGGAAAATTCATAGAGAAAAGAGGAAAAAGAGAGAAAATGGGAAGAGAGAGAAAGAAGGAGAAGAAGGAGAAGAAAGAGAGAGAGATATATATGTATATATATAGAGAGCAAAGGAAGAGATAGAGAGCAAGAAAGACAAATAGAAAGAAAAAGGAAGAAAAGACGAGCAGAAAGGGGGAGAGAGGCCAAGTAGAGGTAGAATAGGTCGCAAAGAAAAAAGATTGATTAGTGAATGAATTAAGCGATTATTTTAAATTAAGATGGTTCAGAGGAAATCTGTGAACATCTTAATAAGTACAAATTAACAAAACTAATTTAGCAAAAAGGACTAACCATCCGCCATTTTGGTGAGGCTGAGCCTGGCTGCTCGCTGATGGTTTGATGGCTGATTGACTCTTAAGACTCAGAAATCAGGTTTCAACTAGGTATTTGGTTAAAATTAATCTTCACAAGATGCACAGGTAATAACATAATTCAAGAAATCACCACATTAATCAATTTTATCCAATACTCTAACTCCAAATAAATTAAATTTGATGAAAAGCTGTTGAGACAATTTGATACTCTGTCTGCAAGCGCAAGTCGGTTATTGAAGAATCGGGTAGAGCATCCGTGAATGGTTAAAAATGGTTACTCTATGACAATATATCCAATAGAGTTAACAGAGGTCGACACTTTTGCATAAATTGCAAATTGCTAACTTAAAACGACAAGTGAATTTTTTACCATTTCCTTGGATGATTTTTTAATTTTCAATTTTTATTCGTTTAATTGGATTAAATCAATATTGTGAATAAATAAAGTCAAATGTGAAAATCAACATTTAAATATACCCCCAACTGCGTAGATAACATACATCAGCAGTCATACATGCTAGTCAAAATGTGATATCAACAAATAAACTAATTTAAAGTTAAAAGCTGCTTTGACCGATCGGACCATAACCAAATAAAGGAACATCTCAACAATTCTTAATCTACACCAATCACAGACTAAAAAGATACAAGAGAAATGTGAAATGGAGATCTCTTTGGAATATAGTTCTTCTTTTGAATTAACAATCCAACATGAACCACAAAAGTCTGTAAATTGTATAATGAAGCCTGTTGTCGGTGATACAGTTAATCTGGAAAATTATCGTGAAACTATACTTACAGTGTTCCAATTGAATTGAAAAAGAGAAAGAGAAAGAACAAGATAGCGGAGAAAAAGGGAAAATAATCAGCAGGTTAATTTAAAGACAATTTCCGGACAAATTATTATTTATCAGCAACTTGATGAAACAATCTTACCAAGCCAGGAATGGAGAAAGTTGTCACATCCGTATAAAGAATCATAAACTACAACCAACCTCTATAAAGAGAATTGCCCAAAAATAAAAATATATTTTTGCGAGAATAAAGTTGCTCATCAATTTACATTTTCTCATCCTGATAATGCTGATAAAGTTCCGTTTCATGATAAAAATATAAAAAATGGTATTGCACCAATTATTAATACATTTCAACTGATCCTTGCCTTTAAAACAAAACGTTAATCCAGAAACGAGCTACAGATAAACGATAACTTTCTCTCTCACTGAAGCTTCCCAATAATCAAAATATAAAAACCTAATCTAAACATTATAAAAATAATATCAAACTGAGTTGATAATAAAAAAAACCGAGATGTAAAAATTGTTTATTCAAAAAAATTTATGTATAATTGAAACTCATCTCACTAACCAACTTGGATCCAAGTCACATTAATAAATAATGAAAGGCATGATTAAATCTGGCCAAACCAGTTTTCTGGTTAATTTTTAATTTTACTTTTCCCTACAGATTGGACGGTTAACAGTTTGTCCGTTTAGGAGGACATTTAAATGCATATAAAAGTGACCAATTTAAAGTTGTTGATCAAGTATCAATATGAGCATTAAAAAAGAGGCAAATTAAGTATACAAACAAGTAAAAGTAAAATGGTCGCCATTAAAATATCATCATCACCATCATAGTTGACCAAGCCATTCAATCATGTTACATTATCACCTGAAATGATCATTTCCACCAACAATCAACCTTTAAAACACAAACTCGATTCTAATCATATTTGTACTTCCCATTAGAACCTCCTTCACATTTGTTTGAATTGGTGATATTATAATTAAATAAAACAAAACCTGTCCAGGTTGCATTTTCACTCGATAAATGTACAACCTTTAATTTTTCCTCGACTGGACATTAATATCTAAAATGTTGTTTCACTCAGAGTAACATTTGTTTATCATTCAAGTATTACCATTTGTTGTTCATTTCATTCCCAATAAAAATTGACAAATTTCCTTCAAATATTCATCTTTATTGTCAACCAAAAAATTGTGTTAATTGTTGTCAAAGTTGGTTGCAAATTTCAAGCTAATTGCTGTACTTTACTGTTCCTGTTTCTCAGTTAAATCAATCACAATAACCATCTTTAAACAAGACCAACAAAAGTCACACTTAACTTCAAACAATTACAATAACAATAATCTTGTATTAAAGTGATGGTCAACATTTTTTCAACTCATTTACAATTTCAATACAAAAGCTCATTTTAAATTCACATCTTCACAGTTTGCTATCAATTTTCCCATCGATTTTTATACATTTTCGTTCATCATCTATTTCGTCTTCCTTCATCACCATCTCATCTTCATTCTTCTTCATTCCTAACACTTCATTCGGTGTGATCTGGAGAGTTAATCTTTTATCCAATTATTGTATGAAACTCTTACCCTGATTGTTTCAAGTGCCATTCACTCGCAATTGTTACAATTGAACCAGTGAACGTAACTTTTTTTGGTAAACGTAAAAGTCAAAGACGACTTGTTTTTTAACATTCAACCTCTATTGAATTGCAATTAAAATCTTAACCACAGTTACTCAAAATAAACTTAATTTAACATAAGCTTTATAAAGGGAAAGCAGAGTAAAAACTTTTTTCCATTTTCTCATCTTATCTGAAATTTTAATCAACACGATTACCATCATCATCATTATCATCTTGTTGCTTCTTCCATTCCTTCAGTGGCACAACTTTAGTCCGAAAATAACCACTCGATGAACAACAAACTGTGAATAACTGCATCGTGGTCATCAGGCAAACTCCTCCTTGAGTGATCATTTTTCAGCTTTCATTTTGTTCCTTCTTGGTTCTATTGGTCTCGCTATCAGTTTGCCTTGTTTGTTATTAAGTTAATTTTGTGCCAACTGACTGATTTACAGACACCTTCATGGCTACCGAAACTTCAGAGGATTTAGTTAAGCGTCTCATGTCCGAGATAAGGGCACATGGTAAAGCCATGGAAGCTTCCTCGAGTACCAATTACGAGAGACGAGATTCGGGACCGGGTCGTGAAGAGGTTAGAGATGTTGATATTTATGATAATAATGCCACTTTCGTTATTAGAAAACCCGTTGACCGTAAATCAGATCACACCTTTTTAACGCTCAACAATTCTGGTTCACCAAATGGAAAGATATCGTCTTCTTATCAACATCATAATCAAAGCCATAATCATAACCATCATCTTCATCAAACTCCAATTTTATCGTCTTTCCTTTCACATCCAACTAAAACTTCAGCCATATCGTCTTCATATGAGCCAACTAAATTAAATGGATCAACACCAGAAACAACCAAATCAACTTCGATAATCAATAGAAACTATGCTCCACAAATAACATCAATAACATCTCCAGTAGTAGCTAATGGAAATTTGATTAAAGGTGAAAGTGACGTTTCTTGTTATTCAAGTATTTCATCGTCCGGTGCTGTTGACCCAATGACAGGAGCCCGTCCAATCAGGAACAAACCGTTAACAAGTGACCAATTAATGTGTGATCAAAGGGAATCTCAGTGTACCTCTTGTGGTGTTTTTCTTGGTGCTTCAGACTCTGAACCCATTTCAAGTGATGTTTACATGGTACCAAATGGGATATCTGTTAAGTCTCCAATGACATCTAATCGAAATCAGAATGATCACGTTTATCATACAAACGCATCTAATAACCAACACGGACACAGTTTAATGAAATGTGATCACATAGGACCCATCAATTCAGTTGAAGATCCGCCAAGGTACAGTCCTAATCGTTTTTACAATGGACCAAACAATGCAAATCACCATCACCACCATCATAATGAAAGGTTGGGACCCAAGGTTTTCATACCTCTGCCAAAACCACAATCCAAGGGTAAATCATTGGATAAAGGAGTTAAGCAGCTCAATGATAAACTGGGTAAACCAAAATATCCTTTAAAATACATTAAAAAGGTTACGCGATGCCCTGGTTGTTCGGGAAAATGTTACATTGAACCATTACAGAGATCCATGAGCCATTTACCCGCACCGGCTGGTGATAATTTATTTACTCTCTATTGTCCATCTTGCTCCAAGACTGGCTTAAATCGATACAGAAGTACAGGAAAAAATGGTAATTTTATATTTAATGGATCGATGGATAAACATCTCACATATTATTCAGCATTACCTCGTCTCTGGGACACCGATATGTGGCATAGGAAACGAAAGCGAGCTTCTATACGGAAAAATGAAAAGATATTGATAGTATTCACTTCTATTGTTTCTATGGTCATCTTCATGACTCTTACTTACCTCGGTGTTACCACTTTTCAGAAGATCACTGAGCTTCCTAAACTTGGATAATATATTTGTAATACGGGCTAATTGCTTTTCTGTAAATCATCAAAAGCTGTACAAAAGAAAAGGAAATTATTAATAAAATTGTCGTTAATTACTTTACTTTGAAACCAATAACATGATGAGAAATTAATATGTAAACTTTCTTGATCTCTATAAACATTATTAGAGTTTAATGTGAAAAGGACAAATAATTAGAGTATTGCAATTTGTAGAGACTAGAATAATCAAAAAGGAAAATGATATAAAACTAATGATTATAGTGAAATAAATAAAGAAATTAATCAAATTTATTTTCGATTGCAATTAATTGGTTTCAAATGAAAAGTCAATCATGATAGAGTGTAAAAAACAAACTTACCCAAAGCGTTTACCTGACCCAGAAATTAAATCACTAATTTCTCTGATTCTTTAGGTACATTAGATTCAATCAATTGTAATTAAAAGATGGATTAAAACTTATTGCGCATAAAATAGAAAGTCGTTCAAATTGAATCAATACACCGGGAGAACGAGTAGCAAGAAAAAAAATTGAACTGGACACGCAATTAATATCTCATTTCAATCACTCAACTCGATTCATGAATTCAGGATTGATTTCACTTTTCAAAATACAATTAATATTTGATTAATCTAATACTGAATTGCTAAATTCCCACGATTTAATTGAAATTTTGTAGGTTTTACATGATTAGCTTACATTGTGAGATTAAAGTGACTTTTAGATCAGCTGTGACTCTGGCGGTTTGCTGTTTACATTTGAAGAAATGCTTTTCCCAAATTCATTTTTCTATCTTAATCAATTCAATTGATTGTTACTCAAGTAATTCATATCGTCCACTCTTTATCAGTAATTAATGAACTAATTATTATTTATATTAAACTTGTTATTGATGACAATTTGTATTTATTGTGCCTTTTTCCCTTAATCTTGTGAAATTAAATTTTCTGTTATTGTTACCTTTGCTTCTCATGACTAGTCGAGTTTTGCCGATTAAACAGTACCTCTCTGAATGGTTTCATTCGAACCACTCTCTTCGATTTAAGTTTAATACATTACATTCGCTTGATGGTGAACTGTTGACTCGACCAATTTTACAGTCAAGTGTTAATGATCGATTAAATTCTGATGAAGTTCAGGTTTGTTTAGTTTTGTTTTTGTTGTTACAGTCATTGATCTAATTTTCATCCTTTCATTCCATTACAGAAGATTGTTTTTCGATTACCTCAAGTGGCACCATTTGTTGAGCAAACAAGTGTCGAGGACACACCAGCAGGACCTGTTATTCAACTATGTATAAACCGTAGAGCTTTTATTGACGATACAATTGATAAGCTGCGCGGTGATTTGGACAGCTTTCCTGAAAAATGTAGACTGAACTCACCTAAGCCCATCAAACAAATTGGTGTGTTGAACGTTATTTAATTTACCCTTTTTATCAGCATTCACCTTTTCCGGTCACTTCTAATTTCAATTATTTTCGTTTTGGTTTTCAGTTGAATTCAGCTCGCCGAACATCGCCAAACCATTTCATTGTGGCCATCTTAGATCAACTATAATCGGAAACGTCTTAGCCAATTTAAAGAAATATCTTGGAAACGATGTTATCAAATTGAATTATCTTGGAGATTGGGGAACGCAATTCGGCTTGCTCTCGCATGGTTTTGATTGTTTCGGAAGTGAAGAAGAGCTTAAGAAAAGTCCAATTAAGCACCTATTTGATGTCTACGTTCAAGCCAATCGTCTTGACGAAAGTGATGACAGCTTTAGACAAGAAGCTAAGCTCAAGTTTAAATCTATGGAAAAAGATTTAGATGATAAAGAGATAAAGAAATGGAATTTATTCAAACAATATTCCATGAAAGAATATGACAAAATATATCGCCAACTAGGAATTGTTTTTGACGATTTTCATTTCGAATCAATGTACAACAAATTAGCTCATCAATGTGTAAATCAATTAGAAGATCTCAAACTGATTGAAACTTGCCCGAACGGAGCAAAGATAATATTGCTGGAAAAATCAAATAGCAAAGAGGACAATTTTTCAGTTCCATTGATAAAAAATGACGGAAGTACTTTGTATCTAACCAGGTAAAATAGGTTATATTTCAACTATTTATTCAAATCTATTCACAATAGTCATTAATCTTATAGAGATATTGCTGCTGCCATTGATCGAAAAGAAAAGTACAATTTCGATGAAATGTACTATGTTGTCGGTAAAGAACAATCCGATCACTTTAATCATCTGAGACAAATTCTTTTTAAGATGGGTCACAAATGGGCAAGGTAATTAAAAGCTGAAAACACTTTGATTGGATCAGAACTAATTTATTATTCTATTACTAGCAATCTTATCCTGGTCAGTTTTGGTCGGATTATCGGAATGAGCACGAGGAAAGGCGAAATCATATTTTTAGAGGATATTATCAATGAAGCCAAACAAAAGTGCCTAGAATCGACCTTTGCTTCTAAAAGTAATCCTCACTTCTAGAAATACATTTTTATTTATCACCTGATAACTAAAGTTTAACTTGTTTATCATTGTTTTTATATTAGCTACGAAAAGTGACCATACAGATATTGACCGATTGGCTTCAGTTCTCGGTTTAACTGCTGTTTACGTCCATGATTTGAGAACTCCCAAAAGTAGTGATTACAGATTTGATTGGTCTAAAGCTTTGAATTTACGTGGACAATCCGGAATCAGTCTACAATATGTACATGCACGAATTCGTAGGTAAGTTTGAACTTAGAAATAGTTTGACTAATGGGAATTTTATTCAGAATTGCAAAATTTAATATAATTTGCTAACAAAATATCGTGAATGTAACAGTGTTTGAGAAATATTCTAATTGTATTTTAACTTTTTTAGTATTGAGCGATTTTCGAATGTCGACTTGGATTTAAACGTTGACATTAATTATGAAGCCATCGAAGGAAGCTTCTGGGATAAACTTTTGATCCATCTTTCAAGATTCGATGATGTTCTTGAAGAAACGTCTAAAAAACGAGATCCAAGTATCCTAGTTCGATATTTAATTTGGCTCAGGTAAGATTCGGCACAGAATGACTTCTCTTGATTTAATTTAAATACAAATTATAGCCAAAATATACTAAAAACCATACTAATTTTGTTATCCTGAAATATTGCAGTACATTTAGTAATGGATGTATCCCAGTGGCCAAAGTGAAAGGAGAACCGAAGGATATTGCTCAAACACGATTACTTATTTATCATTGTAGCAGAAAAGTATTGCAAAAAGGTCTTAATTTAATTGGTTTAGAAGCTTTAGATCAAATTTAAATAAAATTTGTCGATGAATCCTGGATCAATTCCGAGAGACACACCGAATGACGAGTCAAAATCTCAATTTATAAACGATATAACAAGTTGAATGTAACCTCATGGTTCAAAAGACCATTGAAAGACCAGAATAATGACCATTTCAATTTCTCGAGTTTTCACCGAAGATCGGAACATCAAGACTCAAGTTCAGCAGAATGTTCACTCAGTGCGCTACTAAACTTATGTTTGACCACTTGACAAATAGAGAGCAGATCTTGAAGCCCTTGCTCGAAGACTTGTAATCCTGTTACCCCCTTGCTTGGATATGTTTGTATTTGCATGATTACTCGTCGCTCTGTTGGATGAGGAATTGAGTATCCACAAAATTTAACACATTGGCTAAAGAAATATAATAAGTCAACAAAAAGCAATCAAATTAGTATTTTGTATCACCAATATTTTCATAAATGACAGCTACAGATGTTATTTAAAGCGTATGAATTTTCAACTTACTTTTTCATGATGATGTAACGTAGAGAGTTTCCTAAAGTGTGATCCTCATCCAACATTTCAAGAGTCACACAATGGCCTTCTTCCTCATTTCTTAGCTAAATTACATTAGAGAAACAAATAATTTAATAAAACTCAAATCAAAACAAAGACTTGATATTTACTTACAACTTTCAATTTAACCATGGTTGGATCCGGAAATGCTGTGTTTTATCAGAAAAAATAGCAATACTGCAAGCTGATGAAATAAAATATGATTTATTTATTCAAACCAATTTGAACGAGAAACAATTGTTACTTCAAAACAAACATTCAAATAAAACCTACCAGAGAAAAAATTTTCCTGAAAAACATGCTTTGAGGGCTGGCTTAAAGTTGCGCTCCATTTTCAAATTTCAAAAGACACCATTTATTAATGAATAATTTAATTTTTAAATTAATTTTGGTCAATTACAGAGATTTGGATGTTTCAGAAAGATCAAAATAATTTAAATATGATTTGAAAATGAAAAAACCATTAGAAAAATACATTTAATGCAATAAATCAAAGGAAGCATTTGCTTGCAAGTTAAACAGATAAGATCAATCATTTATCCATTGTTGATTCTGATCGAATTGATCTAATTTAGATGAATTTTGATGAATAGCTGACTAATTGTTTAAAATATCATAGCCAACTGTAAACAAGTGATTATTAAAAGCATAACTGGTATTTAATCGGATCAAAGAGATGAACTGAAGGCTAATAAATTTGGATAACCCGAAAATAAATTGAAGCTAATTTATTGACTGTCAAAAGATGGCATCAGATAAGTTTAATAATTCGACAATATTCAATTCCATGGTGTTTAGATTTACATCTATCCATCAACATGGCTAACTCAATCATTGAATGTTTATAATTAAAAAGATGATGAATATGATGTCAATTGAGACTGTTCAAACCAAACTGTTAACAAGATGAAGAGATCAAATTGGTTAAATTATCTTCAACTTAATTTTGAATTATGAAAATTGAAAGGTAAATTGATCATCTCAAGTTAAATGAATATTGAAAAAATTCATTTCAATTTGACCGTAACCTTAAATATTATTGAATAGCAATTATGGTTTGTCCAATGTTTAATGTGATTATATTATAAGAGAGTAAATAAGATGAAATGAAACATTTAAATTTTGGTGTAAAAATAAATTGAACCGAATCTGGTTAGGCTGTAATATTTATCTTGATAATTAAGGGATTGCCGGTTGATTTGATTAAGTTAATCAAATGAGTGGAAATATAATAAGTTGGAAGAGATGAAGAAAAGGCAAGGTTAACCCAGTTGATTATTTTTCATGTCATTTGAATTAACCAGAATCATTCAACAAATAACTTGAGGCTAAATAATCACAAAGGTGGTCAAGAATAAGGAGGAACCCTTAAGGTGACATAATTTATCCACTTATAAGAAGAAGAATGGAAGATGAAAATGAAGATCATCTGGAAATTATGTTATTCCTGGATTGTCACCATCTTATTGCCAATTGAGATTAAAAGTCTAGTAAAATACAAGTCTGTTGCTGATTGAAACAATTGAATCAATAAATTAGCTTCACCATCTTGTCCCATCCAGTAAACCAACTAAAACCAACTCCTTTGCCTCATGAGATGATTAACTTCTTGTATCTGGTTGCTTTCTGGTTATCCTTATGATCAATTGATTGCTTGAAACCAAAAGGAAAAACAAAAAACTTGATCTTGGCCCGTCATTGGGTTTGTATTCATCTTCATCTTGTTTACATCTTTCAATAATCAGTCAACATCAATCAACCATTTACTGCAACTAACTACTACTGCCAATACAGTAGTAGTTTAATTAAACCTCATCAGCTAATTGAATTAGCATCTATTTCATCATGATTCAATTAACCCTAGCCTGTTAATTAGAAATTAAACACAATCTTGGGATAGAAATTTAATCAAATCATGTTAAAAAGCTGAATGTTGAATGAAATGCAAGAAGAAAGAAAAGATTTTCGTTTCAATTTCAAATTTATCAATGATAATTGCCAAAATGTATCTGAATTAACCCATTAATTATCAATATATGCTGTTGCTTCAGCTTCCTCGTTGTGCCTAGACGTTTGGTGGTCCTAAAATTCCGATTAATATTACCGATCTGAAAAGAAGGAGAAATTGTAATTAGTAAATCTATCGAAATTAAAAAGCAATGAAAATCATGGTTAATACCTAGTATTAAATTTAAGGTGATGCATTGCAGAGTTCAAATTCATGGGTGATGGTAATATTGGCTTTAATCAATTTCCAAGTTAACATTGTAACAATTGTAATACTCTTGATCCTCCTATTATTAATTGATTACACCTTTCCATGATACCAATGGGAATGATAAATTAAAATTGAAGTCCCAACAATTGCGGAAAGATGTGAATGCATGGGAACAACAAAAAGCAAAGTTGACCGCAAATGATCAAAGTATAAACTGTTGCATACTAATAGACCGGTAAAGTTGATTTTGATTCATAGTAGATAAAGACTCTTAACTGTGACCAGAATGATTTAACCACAGTTTATTAAACAGAATCTGGTATCAACTGATAACCACCAAAGAGATGAGATGAAATAAAAATAAGCCTTAGAGTTAAAAAGGCAATTAAAGACCAAAGTGAGTTTAAAAGTAATGGTAGAAGCAGCCAAGTTTGAAATAAAAAATGGCTTTGGATGATACAAAGAATTTTAAAATCACAGAATAAACTGGACTCTAAATTAAATTGATGATGATTATTGGTCAAGATGAGTCTAAGTATCTGATCACGGAGTTTATTTTTGATCCGGTTTTGGGTGAGACTTTTTTTTTATTATCAAACATGTTCCTTCACATTTGCCTGCTTCAACAGTGACCTTTTCTTGTATTGAAATAAGGTAATCGACAATCCATCTGCTTTTAGCTTCACTTTAAATGAAATCAATCTTTGATTCAATGAACAGGATAAAAGTTGTTGATAATTTCCATAATATTGAAGGTGAAAAAAGTCAGATACATTCACTTTGGCACCAAGTCTTTTTAATCAAATGGTTTCTCTTCATCACCATCAACATCATCTCACCGTCATCTGGAATCCATCTGATAATCATGATTATTCAATGATTTTAAAGCACTTAAAATCACACTTTTTCACCCCAAAAAAAGAGAAGAAGGAAAAACAGGAAAGAAGACAAATTGAGGTACAAAAAGGTAATATACTGATCACTGTTGATAACAATTAAAACATTAGCCAGATTATAAGTCTTGAAAACCACAGATCGGCTACAAATCATTCCAACAGTCACATAGCCAAAGGATAATCACTCTTTCCACCAAGCTTTTGATTCCAATACGGCATTTTTTATAGCTTGATTAAAAGCAACTAAAAGGTTTAACCACCAACCATTGAATCTCGATAGTTAAGATAATTAACCCTTAAACGATCTTTGAGCTTACACTAGTATTCCCGAAACAGAGTCAACCAATTTTCTCGATCGTTTCATATCTGCAATGTTAATAAGAGCTCATAAGTATTTCTGGTCTCAATTTCTGGTATTTTTATTACTCCCGCTAATGAACAGCTTAACCTAAAGCGTTAAGAAGATACAAAACAATTGAAAGACTGCAATCATGAGCACATATTGAAACTCAATCAGTGAATGTAGAAAAAATTTAATTAGATTCACTAATTTTAAATTTTTGATTAAAAGAAAATTAAACTATTGTCAGGAAAATAATTCTATTCATAAACAGTTAGGTGTTTACAACAAAACAATAAAATTACATGAGATGATCCACTGTTTACATGGATAGAGCTTACACTTTGATAGGTTTTGAATTAAAGCTTTTGGCCTTTGAAGCATTGGCCAATCCAACTGAATATCTTACAAGAAGCACGAACAAAAATCCATTGGAGAATAACGCAGTAAATAAGATAATTGTGGGTCCAATGAATACGTTTTTTTGTTCTTCTGTAGCAACACCCTTGATATCGAGAAATCGTAAGGAGCCCAACACAATTCCCATTGCAGAAAACATTAGTCCAAGGAAAAAAACGATTGTACCAATGTTGAGGATAACTCTCCACTGTTTGATGACGGCTGCTAACATTACTCCATGAAAGACAAGGCTGATTAGAGTAACACCAATTGCTTGTCCATTGACTAAAACCATTGCTCCGCTCAATGCGATGATATTCAATCCAACGAGGAAAGTGAAGCATCCTTTCAACCACGATTTTACAGTACCACAACCGTTGTCTGTCCAATCAATCTCTGTACTTTTCATGGTTAGTTTGTAGATTCAGTTTGATGTTGAGTAACTAACAGATAAAATTTGCAATAGAAATTGAAAATAACTTCTTGCGGAATCACTTGAGAAGCAGAAAGACAAATGAATGATTTATATACTGAATGTAATAACCATGTATAACAATGGAGCTTAGACCATGATCAAGATTTATCGAAACAATTTACTCAATTCTTATCTAATCTGAATAATTTTCCGGTTTTATTGATCAGTTGAACCATTACATAACACAAATATTACTCAAATATAAATGAATAACTTAAATCTACTACTACCACTATCTAATCACCACTATTCACTACTTACTTACAGTCACATAGTTGGTCAATCACAAGGTATACATTCCTTTGCCCAACACAGTTGAACCTTATTACAATAAGAATCCTAACCTATGAAGAAACCTCTCAACTCTGTTAAAGGGTGATACACTTGACAGCGTGCAAATTTTGAAGATAAGAATAAAATTGAGCTAATCTTTATCATAAAATTTGTTGATATTGATGACCAATGACCAATTGGTTTTGGTTTCCTGTCTCTGGCGCTTCATTATCTGTGTTCATCTTCATCAACATCAACAAATTTTATGATAAAGGTAACCTCAATTTTATTCTTATCTTCAAAATTTGCAGGCTGTTAAGTGTAGCACCCTTTATAATTTATAATTTGATTTGCTTAATTTATTTTGACTTCCTTTCCCTTTCGTTCCAATATGAAATTTAGCTGTTGATTAAAAATGATCTACAATGTTAAATCTACATAGACAATAAACGTGATTGGATTAGATTGGCGTTTATTCTGATTGTAAGCTTTTCATGAGTGAAAATCATGATCATCAAATCATCATGATTTTGAGGTGTTAACTCGCGATTGATCAATATTCGACTCACTCAGATTGGTTTCTGAGAAATTCATTTCAATATTGATTGTAAATTTTGATTGGCATGACTTATTCAAACAGTTAAACTTTGATGAAATGTGAAACAAAGGTAACACCAATTAACTAGTGACTGCTAAAATGAAATAACAAATTCTTTCATTGATTGTCACAATATACCCAATCTACATTTAAACATCTAGGTTTTCTCATTGAGAATTTGCGTCTTCAAATTTGAATTGATTTCATCAAACTCAATGGAAAGAAATTCATAATCGCTGCAGCCTCTGGTTGAATTTAGCTTGTAAACTTGGTGATTAAAGCCTGAAGTCCATTTTTATTCTTACTCCCGCTAATGAACAGCTTAACCTAAAGCGTTAAGAAGACACAAAACAATTGAAAGATTGAAATCATGAGCACATATTGACACTCAATCAGTGAATGTAGAAAAAATTTAATTAGATTTACTAATTTTAAATCTTTGATTAAAAGAAAATTAAACTATTGTCAGAAAAATAATTCTATTCATAAACGGTTAGATGTTTACAACAAAACAATAAAATTACATGAGATGATCCACTGTTTACATGGATGGAGCTTACATTTTAAAATATTATGAACTAAAGCTTTTGGCCTTTGAAGTTCTGGCCAATCCAACTGAATATCTTCCAAGAAGCACAAACAAAAATCCATTGCAGAATAACGCAGTAGATAAGATAAATATGTGCACAGTGTATAAGATTTTTTGTTCTTCTGTAGCATCCATGGTATCAAGAAATCTTTTGGTGTCCAACACAATTCCCATTAAAGTTGACACTAATCCAAGAAAAAAAACGATTGTACCAATGTTGAGGATAACTTTCCACTGTTTAATGACGGCTGCTAACATGAGTCCATCAAAGACAAGGCTGATTAGAGTAACACCAATTGCTTGTCCATTGACTAAAACCAGCGCTCCGCTCAATGCGATGATATTCAATCCAACGAGGAAAGTGAAGCATCCTTTCAACCACGATTTTAGAGTACCACAACCGTTGTCTTCCCAATCAATCTCTGTACTTTTCATGGTTCGTTTGTAGATTCAGCTTGATGTTGAGTTACTAACAGATAAATTAGCAATAAAAATTGAAAATAACTTCTTGAGGAATCACTTGAGAAGCAGAATGACAAATGAATGATTTATATACTGAATGTAATAACCATGTATAACAATGGAGTTTAGACCATGATCAAGTTTTTATCGAAGCAATCTACTCAATTCTTATCTAATCTGAAAAAATTTCTGGTTTTATTGATCAGTTGATCCATTATATAACACAAATATTACTCAAATATAGATGAATAACTTAAATCTACTACTACCACTATCTAATCACAACTACTCACTACTTACTTACAGTCACATAGTTAGTCAATCACAATTATAAGGTATACATTCCTTTGCCCAACACAGTTATACCTTCTTACAATGGAATCCTATTCACCATTTCCTTTTCCTTGTTTTGTTTGAAAACTATGAAGAAACCTCTCAACTCTTTTATAATTTCTAATTTGATTTAATAAATTTTATTTTGACTTACAAGCTGCTTAAAGAGCTCTCTTTCTCTCTCTCTATTTTAACTTGAATTTGAAGTGTAAATTTTTAATTTGTATTGTTAGTTAAGTGTACGCTAAATCAATTAAGTCAAAGCTTTAAGCCTTGACTCTTCATCCCTCGATCTCGGTACACAAGTGGATAAGTTTATCGTCTGTGGTTCTGTCACGAAACCTAAACCCTAACATTTACTCGTGATTAATCAGCAAATGAATTCTGAAAATTTCGTTCCAATACAAAATGTAGCTGTTGATTAAAAATGATATACAATTTTAAATCTACATAGACAAACGTGATTGGATTAGGTTGGCGTTTATTCTGATTGTTAGCTTTTCATGAGTGAAAATCATGATCATCATTATTTTGAGGTGTTAACTCGCGATTGATCAATATTCGACTCACTCAGATTGGTTTCTGAAAAATTCATTTCAATATTGATTGTAAATTTTGATTGGCATGACTTTTTCAAACAGTTAAACGCCCTCTTTGATGAAATGTGAAACAAAGGTCACACCAATTAACTAACCAGTTAGTGACTGCTTTAAATTAAAATCAAATCACAAATTCTTTCCATTGATTGTCACAATATAGTCAATCTACATTTAAATTTCTAATAAAAAATTATTAATAACGATAACTGTACAATCCATACAACAAAGGTCAAAACGACAAAATTTTGTGTAAAAAGCGCGGGCGAAAGAAAAGGATTTTAAGGCAAATTTTCGAGATTAGTTGTAGTCATCGAAATACAGATAAATCTCAGAAATAAATTACCATAAAATACTTCAACAGGCAAACAGCTGCAAAATAGATTCCAGGCCATTCCTTCAAGTATTGCTAATTGTTGAATTGAGGCTTTTTTATTCACTTGTATCCATGTCCATTGTAACACCACCTTTGAAACAAGCCATAGCCATTAAATGTACCATCCTGACATCTGCTCGTTACATCGGGTCAATCAGCTCATAAAAATCAAATAACCAAGAGATCCAATTTTGGATAATTTCCAGAAAAGCAATGATAATTTTATGGGACAAAATTTTTGACAGTTCAATAATGTAATTTAGTATACTGTAAACATTAAACATATAATCCACTGTACTATTTCAATTATAACTCATTAAAAATAGATTGATTAATTGAAGCAGTAAAAATTGTGAAAAGAGTAAAACAATAAAAAAATGAAAACAAATCCAAATCCAAATCTTGATCAGATTGATACCAGCTTAATATCTGATCCAACAGATATAAAGTAACAAGTGTATTTTGAAAACATTTGAATCATAAAATGGAAACATTTTCTTTATTAATATATTAATAAGGATCATTACAACTGTTAATTTTGTTTTTATATCTCGTTAATCAGGATTTATAAAATGTGTACAACAACCATTCCAATTGAATTGAAAGCTTTTGAGGGGAAAAGGATTAAAACAAAATGTGCTCCTCGTCAAGTGTATTGCATGATGGATAATCGATACAAAAAAAGGTGAAAAGTTTAATATGATACAATCGCTATTTAATCTAATTAATAGCGCTTTATTAAATGTTTTAAAGTGAAATGATATTGACCAGACTAAATTAAATTGTATTATCTTCTGTTCCTTTTTTTGCAGTGAGGATTTAAATCAATTTATTGTGAACAGAGCAAGATTACCCGGACTGGAAGGACAAGAAGGAGCAAATGGCAGGCCAAATGAAGCAAATGTGCATTGAGATTTCAATTTAGCAGATTAATTTTGTTAAATCTTTTTCAATTTTTCATCGTTTCCCGCTGAGTTTGAAGGTGTCATCTGATGTGTATGATGATGATGATGACGATACAATACTGAATGAAGCATGGAAAGAGCCACAAATTGAATTTTTCAAGTGTCTTGTTCTGAAAAATTATATTTACTTGTCTACATCTGGAGATATTATGAGCCAATCCAGGCAGGATTAGTCAGCTTAGTAACCTTTCTCAGCACACAATACAAGATGTTGACAAAATTGTAAATTTAAATTTTTCACTTTCCTGGACATGTAATCAAGCTGAAATGGTGAAAAATCTTGTAACTCTTGGGTCCTTCAAATTTCAGCCTCACTCAGAATGAACATCATGATGATTGCCTCTTTCCTTTCTTTCCAATCATCATCTCCCTTACAATTAATGGTCTCGATTTAGCCATTTTGTCAGATCCATCTTCCTTTTCCCTTGATAATGAGATTGAATCAGTTTCTTAATCCGATTTTTAAGCATCAATTAGTCTCCTTCTAGCTTCATTGATAATCTATTGATGATCATCCATCATCCATTTTACGACAACTACACATTTCAATCATCATCAACATCATCGACACATCAAACAACACACAAACTATTCACTATTATTATCTGCTCTTCAAATCATTTCAACCTTTCTAGAGGAATTAATACGTTAACATATACATTGATTACTTTGAACAAAGTTACACTATTAGACAGCCTTTAAAGATCATTAATCAGCTGATTAAATAGCTTGCGTTTAACAAAAAAAAGAGTAGATTAAATCAGGAAGAACGGATCATAATCTTAAGGTCCAATTAGTTGATTTCAATGAACGTTTGCCTAAAAACAATAATTCAACCTAAACTGGTTGAACAGCATTAAGTTTAATCATAAAACAATATCAACATCAATACAACAAATCCAAAGATGATCAAGAGAAAGTCAATGTTCAATTTAATCACAATCATCTTTTTTCACTCTAATTACTTGCAATCAAACTCATCTTAAAGACTTGAGCTAACTAAATGAATATTTAAATTTAATGAGCCAAATCTCAAGTCTAACATTTCAATGATAATTGATTAACATCAATTAAATTACTAATTAACTAATGAACCAGCAAAACAGATTAACTTTCATTTGCAAAAGTGTCAATGTTTTCTAATAGAGGGCGCTGACTGTATGTAAAATGAAAAATTAAATTTTACTGTAAATCGCTTTTAAATCCTCAAAATTATTAATAATTGCTTCTCATTATCTTAGATTTCATTGTAAATGGAGACTTGGGATGGCAAGAACGACCATTTTCCAGTTAGACCCCTGAATCGACCACAAGATCAATCTTTCAATATTTAAATCGCTACGCAACTGTTGGCTAAACGAGTGAAGAGCAAAATTTCAGTCGATTTGTGACTTATTTAGGTTTAGTCAGGCCGGACAAGCAATCAGCTTTTCTCAAATACTTCAATCGTTAAAGAAGAAGCTCATTTAGATCAGAAGCACGGTAGATCGACCCTAAAGTTTTAAAAGACCGATCTTCGATTTTTTTCTGTCATCACTCATAGACTTGAAAAACCAAAATGTAAATGATTCGCCACACAACAATACACTAAAAGGTAAGCTACGATTTTTGTTGACATTAAGTTCACAACTATGAGCCAAATTTATTTGACTTTCACTAATTTGTCAACTAATAACAACAACCTCTTTGTTTCTCGCAGATTGGGAAAGCCTCGGCTGGATTGACTCGTAACTGTTGACTGTCATTAGTTTACAATGATCATAAAGTGATAATAATTACGGTTAATGGTAATGGTTATGATAACGTTAATAATCACTTTTAACTTGCTACAATTTATTCACAACTCAGCATTGGATAAAGATGCTGATTGACGCTAAAAGAAGGCCTTAAGGATTGAAAAAGATGGATTTAATTAACAACAACAAGGAACAACAAGATGTTTTATTTTTAAATTAGTGGCTTTTATTCAAGTTAATTTGCATCTAATTGTTTATCTATCTCAAGGCAATTTAAAGTCATGATTGGAAAGTCAAAGAGCCTTTTCATTTCATCATCTTTATTGATGCTAAGAGGATGAAGAGCATTTCATCTTTTTGCTCTTCTTTTTCTTCCTTTCATTTCTTATAATGTTATCGTTGACTCTTGAGGTGATTGAATATTAACACCCATTGGTCAAGTTAACAATCTTTAAGGGCATCATTCGCATAATGACAATGTTTCTATTATAATTGCTAATTTTATTATCTATTCAATTCTGTTGGCAAATTGTGATTGAAATAATAATGATTAGCTATAATAACTGAATCGACTAACAGTTATGAGCAGTGAAACCAAACAAACAAGTGTCTGTTAAAACATTTTGTTATTCAACTCAATATTATGATACAAGTTAATGCTCAATATTTTGAACCATTAATTGTAATTAGAGATAAGATTAACAATATTCCTCAGTGAAACTAAATATTCATCTAAATATAAACCAATTTCGGGGTTGATTGGACTCATTTCAGGTTCTCGGTAAAAAAAGGGATTGACTTGAAATCTTATTCCAATCTGATTATTAGCAATCTAAAATAAAGTGAATGATGTTTCTGGTTTCATCCATTAACTATGACACTTCAATTAACGAACCTGTTCCATGTTTTAGTTAATGTCTAATTGATTATAATCAACTAAAAGAAATGAATCAGAGATTAGTGGTCATCGAGAGCTTTAATCAATCCTAACATGGGATACGAATGAAAATTTAATTAAAATGAAATGTTAAACAACTAAACCAACAAACCAAAGGATATTATGTCAAGTTGGAAATTAAATTGAACTCGTCAATATCATTGTTAGTCCTGTTATCGGTGAGATTTGTGAAGATGAAAGCGAACAGTTCTGTCACCATTCAGATAGAGACTCTATCTGGTACTTATATTTACACACATTAGACTCGCTAGCTGGCTCAGTTTGAATCGATATCAAGAAATAGATTTTGATTGAATTTCTATTGGAATCTCCAAAGTATTAAAATTGCTTTATTTACACTTCTGGTTGATATATTGAAACATATTTCCTTATATTTAAACAGCTGTCTATTTATCCGTTGGTTATTCAATTGTTTAACGAGGTTAATTTTTTTAATTCTGGGGAAAATATAAATGTGAGTTTCCCTCTTCATTATCTATCCAATCTATCCAAGCTGTTTGTTGAAACTTCAACCGATCAAAAGGATTTTCATCTTTAATTCTCGCCATTTATCATCTATTCCTGAAAATGTTATAAAAAATTATTCAAGTTTTACTCAGGAATTATGAATCATAATTTATGGCTGACACAATTATAAGTGGATGGATAAAAAAACCAATCAATAATCGCGATCAATAGTCTTCTTTAATATTATTAGCATCAGACTTTGCTCTTTGATTAACAGTAAAGTCTCATAATATTACAGTAAATCAACACTTTAATCAGTTAAGACCAACAGTTGGATTACATTGCAAACTGAAACCAGAAAATAGAAAGCAAGCAAAGTTGATTTCCAAGAATTCAAGATTAATTGATACACCTAAGACTATTAGTAATAACTAAAGAATATCAAATCACTTGAAGTGTTTTTGCAGGAAGAAATTAACTAACCAACAATGAAAGCCATCAAAATGTTGTTATCAAACTCTTTTTTCATTGTTACTTGTGACTTACTTTCATCACCTTGGAAGATCTTTCAGATAAACTCCCTCTGATTACCGTCGAGATTGATTCAATGTTCATTTGAGTCACTTTAGTTTCATTCATTTACCCATTTTGTGTGCATCAAACAGTTTCATTAAGTTCTTTATTACACTAATCAACATTTATTAACCATCATGGCGTTCGAAGTTCACAGTAAAACAAAGTCATTTTTTATATGTATTTTTGGTGTCGCAGTTGTGCTCGATATCATTCAACTACTTGGTGGCAGTTTCGGTGGTGGTGGTACCCAAATCAGTACCGGTATTGGTAGCTTGATATTTGATGGAATTATGTTGCTGGCAATCATTAAACAATGGAGAGTTTTCCTGAAATTTTGTCGAATCATAACCATCATTATTATTGTTTTGAAATTCATTGTGATTGTGCTTTCAATCATCGCATTAGTTGCTCTTAAAAAGGACTACAAAGACTATGATTCCGACAGAAATTGGTTAATCGTCAACCTGGTAACTCTCATCATGAGTTCCCTTCTCAACTCAATTTATGCCTTCCTTCTTGGAAAGTATATCGACCAACTAGAAGGACATTGACCATTGAACCACAAGTATCGTATTGCTATCAATATATTCACCTCAAAACTATACAGCCTCTTACTTCACACATCAATTTTCAACGCACTTGGCAGCTTTCATGGCAAGATAAATCAAAATGTTATGTACATGAACACACGAAATTTTTAACATGAAAATAAATCTCATCAACATTAGTTTTTGATTTTTGAAAATGTTTGTTTCTTGAAATAACTTCAAAGTTTATGAAATTAATTTTTTGAAGATTGACATTCTCTACGAGGAAACCGTTATCGATTACTGTTTACCTTTCAACTGTTATCTTTTCAATTGGTCATTGGGTCAATTGGGTTTTAGCGCGAGGATTGTGTTTTTGTTTCACTGGATACCTTGTAAAGCACCCATAATTGTCCTTATAGCTGTGAGACGGTTAAGCTGTAATCATGACTTCTAGAGCCTACAGTTGTCATAGCTATGAAAAATATTATATTTTTGTCAATTTTCTCATTGAGTTGGTTAAATAAATATTTGAACGTTAATTCCAATGGTTTCATTAAAATGGTTTAATGATGCAAAACGGTATTTATGATGCATTGTGTGCCTACGAGGCTCCTCGCGTCTTTCATTTCGATGCCATTTGCTGGCATTAATGAGCATTGTTTGTAAAAGTGTGACAAATGGCGTCTTATTTGTCACTTTCGTACTACGTCTTCACAGCTTTATGACTGGAAGGTTTTGTGAAGTTATCCTTGTGTTTGATTCCATTGAATTTAAATGTTCTTTCAAATATTATTTCATTAATTATATATTCCTTCACATCATTTAATATTTCAACCAAAGAGTAAATAAGCTCAACTCTTAACGCCCATTTCTAGTATCCATTCAAGTGTTGATGTTTAACCAGGAAAATAAAGGTACTAATAGTCGATGGTTAAACTGATTATCGTCGTCTTTGAAACATTTTGTTCTTTGCTGGTTTTGTTTCTCTAAAATATTTTACTCAAATGCTGAGCCATGAAGATTTGCTATATTTTGTTTAAAAGAACCAGAATGAAAATTGGAACAAAAGTTGCGTCAACAAAAAACCAAAAAGCACAAAGTGTTAAATCAATTTGTTTTGTCACAATTTTAATGGGAAAACGGGAAAACCTTTCAATACTAAAATAATTTGAAATGCGCGAGTGTACATTCAGTAAATTCCCATTGGAAACAAACAAATTCAAATTGAAAATACTATGTCATAATGAAAAAACAAAAAACCTTGGATTTTGGTCAAATTGAAAAAAACTGATTCAGATTGAACCATCGTTAAAATATTGAATATAAGATGGCAACTTGTATTTGGCTACTAGAAGTTTGTTTTTAATTCAGACGTTAATTGCAAATATAATTATTTTGATTGCATTCTAAATATGATTTTTAAAGTAGTCTAACAAGACCAAGTAGATTTTTGAAAGGTTGTCTATACTTTGCATGAAGTTTCAATTGACTGAATAAGGCTACGATAGAAATATCGAGGAAGAAAATGAACGGTTAATTTGTTTTGATTCGGAATTGTGAAAATTGAAATGTTGCTTGAAATTCTGGAGAGTCTGAATAAGTGGATGAAATGAAAAGACAAAATTATTGTTTAAACAATAAATCTCATTAACATTACACTTCTTTTCTTATTGCTACATTGCAGGTAATTTCTGAATCCATGTACATAAGCAATCATTTTTTGTTTTCAAATTATGTTAATGGTTGTTTGGTCCCTCAATTCAATTAATAACAACAAGAATAAACAAAAATACAAACGCATTGACATTGCAATCAACAAGTGAGGAATGTATTACATGAATACAGAAATCATTTACAATCGTTGATTGTCATGAAGATGATTATGATAGCAACTTATCGAGCTTTCATCTAGAAACAATTAAAAAAATAAAAAGGTAAAAGTTAACAAAGATGTTGCTTTCATTGCCATCATTTACCACTTTTGCTTAATAAATCGGTTCTTGGATGAAAGAAAAGAAAAGTTGTTCACTTGATTGTGATTAAGTTTTTTCAAGAAAAAAAGAAATGATATATTTCTTTTAATAACCTTTCAAATATCCAGTGAACATGAAAAAACAAAACACAACGGCATGGCAATGAAGTAAAGGGAGGTTTCCTTAAGATGAAAAATATATTTAAAAGAAGGAGGATTCACTTGATTATATCTTGTTAATTGATTTTGCTTCTTTGCCCTCATCTCCATCTCCATCTCCAACTTCATCGCTGGATCATCCCCTGCATCATCATTATTTTACTAGCCTGAAAGAGAGAGAAAAGTGATTAGAAATGAATGTTAAACTCAACATTTTATTTGGTTAAATCAAGATGACAGAAGATAAAAGTTGATGAAGATTTTACTCACTGTGAGAAGCTGATGAAGTTTGTTTACTCAGAGATGATCATCATCAAGATTCTGAGTTATGGTTTAACATGTTTTCCAAGATGAAATATTATGTAACATTTATATCCAAACCAAACACTAAAGATAAGGGATGAGCAAAAATGAAGATGGCAAACGTTACAAGGAGAAATATAACAAAAAAAGCCAAATAATAAAGACTTACATGTGGTTTTTGCCATTTTATTGCGTCTCAAGTGAAAGGGAAAACCAATTATCGGCAGCATTTTTATTGATGAAACAGTCAGACGATTATCTGAATCCATTAACATTGCCATGAATTAAACAAGACGATGATAGTAATAACATTCATGTAAAAAAAAGTACAACAATTATAATAATATCATTATTAATGATTTAAAAATAAAAAAATCTTTAGGGTTATATAAAAATATTAAAGCAAGAGCAGAAAAAATAAGGCAAAAGTGAAAGTCATAGCCTTGCAGTGGTCACATGTTAATTGAAATTGATGATGGCGGGAAGATTGAATGAATAAATCGTGTTTTGAGAAAAAAGAAAAAATCATTGGAATTTATTTCTCTATCATTATTATCTTCCTTTTAACCTTTATATTTAAAAGTTGCCTCTTTTTTATCATATAATAATAATTGACTCCTTCATCATCATCAACATTATTATCTTAGCTACTGTGACACAAAAAGAAGGCCAAAATGTCTTAAGGCGAGAAGAAGCTCAATGTTGGTAACCTCATCTTTCCAATAAAAAAAGACTTCTCTGTAATGAAAAAGACGATGATGATGATGATGATGATAAGAGGCAACTTGTTTAACCTGTTTAACCAAAGTTACTCTTGATCCAGCAACCTTGTTGGGTCCTTCATCTCGGGTCAAATGTGATCAAAGTTAACCTTCCCTGCCTGTTGCTGTTCATTTTCATTGCAAATTTAATGCACAAGTTGCCCTCTTGGTTCCCATTGAAAATCTTGTATTACCTTGTTGACCCAACCGATGACCACAAATTTTATCCTCATGTTTACTTGTTTACTTGTTTACTGGTAAATAAATCAAATTATATTATCAAACTAATTTACTTTTATTGTAAATTAACTAACAGTAAAGTTTTAAAATGCGTTTTTGTTGCTCTGTTAGACTCTTTTAGGCTTTTTTACCAATTCTTTGATGGTTTTTTCATGATAATTAAAAGACTCATTATACGAAATTTTTGACCCAATTCCTGGTTCTCCGTCTTCCAGTCACAGACTGTCCCGATTTGATATCAATCAAAGGTGAACTCGAATAACTGAAAATAGCTTTTTGCTATCGACTGATTTAAACTCTCGGATGAACTGACTACCTTTAAGATGTCAGTTAATTGTCCAAATATCTGCATTACGATTTTAATCCAACAAAAAACAGAAGTTTTAACACTCATTATGATAGCAAAAGATTCTATGTCTCTGAGTGATTTGATTATTGAATCGCCATTTGGGTGCAATGGTATTTTTTGGTCTAAAGCACTTAAAACTAGAAAAAGGAAAATTTTAATCAACAATTACAATCCATAATGTAATTTTAAATGAATTATTGGGAATCGATTTAATCTCATTGAACATATCAACTCCAATTAACACCAGCTGAACAACCTTTCATCTAAAGATTTCAATCAGATCAAAGAATCGATTTGATTGTTTTCCTAGAATTATATTTTGTTTCAACTTGTTAGCATTTGTTTCCATCATGTTTCATTGAAACAATAGATTGGATTGAACACTGAATGATAACTTTCATCAGATTAGTAAAAACATTGAAGTTTGCTTGATTAAACAGGATTCATTTGGTATTTAGTATTTCAAGTAACTGTGACTGTGACTAGAGTAATCATAATGCAAAGCAACAGCTCTTTAAAGTTACTTTTGGTTATAATTTTCGGCTTCCTCATCATATGTGATGCCACAAGATTGATCACATCAATGGTGGCTGGCAGTGGTTCAGAAATTGTAGCAACATTGATTGCCCTTTCCATTGATGGACTCTTCTTAATGGCCGTCATCAAAGAGTGGAGAGGAATCCTTAAAGTTGGTCGAATGATCATCATTGCTTTGATTGTTTTTGCTTTAATCGTGCTAGTGATGGGAATCGTTGCGATTGTTTCCGCTGGCAAGAATCATAAAACGACTGAAAAAAGATCCTTTATTGCTCTCGAGATTATTCTCGCACTTGAAATACTCGCCTATTCGCTTTTGGCCTTACTTATTAGAAGGTATAACGATGAATTGCAAAGCTCACTCATTGCCGCTGCAAATGCATTTTAATCGACAAAATTCATTCTTCCATCCAAACTCAACATTAATCATAAGAATATTTGTAAAAGTTTAATTTATTTCAAGATTTATTTTTACATTGACAGCGTCAATGTTTCAAAGTGTTACTAAATTTTATTAAATAGTAATTAAATGATTTTTAACCATTCAATTGTTTAATTGTTTATTTACCTTGAAAGCATATTGTGTGAAGCAATTAATGATTTATAGCAGAAATGAAAATAAAAATGGTTTTTAGGTTTCAATGTAAACATTATGAGTTTGGGTGCAGAAAAGGGGGAAAATAGATAAACAAATAACTAGGAATTGATTTTCGGTGTTAATAAGTATTTACCGAGTATCTTTCGGTTTCTCATCCAACCCAACATTAGATTAGATTATTTTCCTAGTAATTTCAATTCATTGTTTTTCCGTTATTAATAGATGAAATCCAAGGTCTTCGATTAGTTTGAAACCTTGTTGGTTGAATGTTATTCAAGTGTGAAATCGATAAGAATCTGTCGAGTTAGATCAGGCTATGATAAGGACTAAACGATATTAGCTTGAATTATTAATATCTTGAATTATGAAGTGCAGTTTGTTGGTTAGTAATCTGATACAAGACTGCACAACCTGTCAACGACTTTCACTACAAGTTTTAATATTGCATCTAGAACCGACTTTAGCAATTTATTGTTAGTCAGTACTGAAGTTAGAAATATCTCAATGAAGATGAAACACAACTAGGTTAATATTAATTCGTTGTTTTGCTTTTGATTACTTCCACAAAAAGTTTTTTCAACTTCACTGGTGTATTGAATTTGAGATTCAAGTTTAAAACATTCATCTTAGGTAAGTATCTTAGGTAGAGTCCAGGATGCCAGCTCAAAGTGCTGGTTCTTTAAAATCGATATTAGTTGGATTCCATGATTTACTGTGGAAATTTTATGCCATCAGATTCATCATAGTATCTTCCAGTAGTTCGGACAATGGTTTGTACTGCAGTCATCGCCTTGTAATACTGGAATCTACTGCACTACTTTCATATTGATCACCATTATTAAGCGATGAAAATTTGTTCTTAGAGTTGCTAAATTTTTTAGTCGGATTTACATTCCTTTCAATAGGCTATTTGTGCTTGAAGCCCTTGCGATCATTGCTGATGACTCAATTTAGAATCAGACAGAAAGTTTTCGATTTTGAGTGAATTCATAAGTATGAAAATAATTTTAGCTAATTAAATGACTATTAAGTCAAGAATTAACTTATGATAGCTATTTACAAATTCTAAACGATCGTTTATTTGACAGATGTAACAGGTGAAGTTGAGTTGTTAATATAAAGCACCTAACAACATGGAGGTACAGTTAAATGTGTGAATGATTAATTTGGAAATGCATTTGTATACAATGACAAGAGGTATCAGCTTGTTTTAAACAGTTTATCAATAGATGACCTGTCTGTCTTGAATTCAGTGGCTGATTGGTTCAGTGTCAATTTCGCAAATGCATTTTGCAAGTATCTAGGCTTTGAAGAAATCTAAATAAGATATTAAAGAGGAATTATCCAAAATTAACTTTGACTCATTGAACACAAAATGAGGACAAGAAATGCCACAATCCCACAGATTTTCAAACTAAATCTGCGGCAGCTTAATGTTGAATCCAAATTTGAAAAATGAACTATTAATCAAAATGAATGCATTGTTTACTCAGCACCTGGTTCAACTTCGCCAGCAACTTTGTAACTATTCGTTGCTGTATGTTGCTGTTTTCTCTTCTTCTTGTTTTATTGAACACAATTAATTAAATAATATGTCACTAACCACACAATAACTTGAATTCCTTTGCATCAGAAAGTATTGATTATAAACGTTCAGTTTATTGTTGGCTTTTCAGTGAATTACAACAGAAAACTCTTCAAACAATAATTTTCAAGAAATCCAAAAGTAACTTTTAATAGTAACTACTAATAAATGTTTAAACCTATGTTGAAAATCACCATCACAGTGAAAACAGTCTTGTGTGGACTTTTTTGTGGAGGTTTTCTGTTTAATTTGTGTTATATTATGCTTCACAGATCGCTGTATTATAAACATGAAGTAGAAATAGGATTATCCATGTTCAGCCTTGTTATCAATGGAATCATGTTGTTGGCCGTCATCAGACACTGGAGAACTTTAATTCAAATGGGTCTAGACATGCTATATTATGCGTTTTTGCTTTGTTGTATCGGAGCTTATATTGGAATGGCCATTGCTACTCAAGATTTCAAAGTAGGAATGATATTTGTGATGTTCATGATTGCAGCTATTGTCTTTAATTTTGTTTTAGCCCATCTTTTATGCAAATATCTTGAACAATTATCGCCTACTTTACAATATAATAATCTATTATCTTAAATGCTGAGCTAAGTTTCTGGTTATGTTATCAGCTTTTCCTCATAAATCTGTACAAAACATAGCTGAATAAAACAAAATATTTTGAATGATTTAATGTCTTTAAATTACTCTAAATCATCGTTAAAGAATAAAATTAAATTAAGACGTAATAAGATTGCAAGTACTTCTTCGCTCGTTTGCGTTGTTGGTCGTTCAGTTACTCAAAATGTTATAATATATGTTATCTTGAATTAAAAGCTCGAAATAACTAAACCCCATTCTCATTTGATTGAGTTAGTAGACAACCAACAATTTAATCATCAGTTACATTATATATTGCAATTTACTGAGATTAATTAACCAGAAATCACTAATCTCGGTGAGTCAAACACTTTAATAATGATTGAAAATATGTTGAAGCACATATGTATAAAAAGCATTCATTTGTTATTTTGCTTCTAAAGTGAAAAAGTTATTTTCCATTTTATTGCTAATTAACCTGTGAAATCCAGTTTAACATTAAATTCAAAGTTAAAAAGGATTTCTTTAGAAGTACAAGATGCCAATCCAAGTTAGTAGTACTTCGAAATGGTGGTTAACCGGAATATTCAGTTTCCTTGTTGTTCTCAATATCATCGAATTGAGCGGACAAATAGTTTTGAACAGTGGACTAGAAGTTGTTCCTACTTGCATCAGCCTTGTTGTCGATTTAGTCATGTTAATGGCCATCATTAGACAGTGGAGAGGCATCGTGAACATTGCTCGAATTGTTCTCATAATTGAAATCGTATTCGGTTTAATTGTATTTGTGATTGCAACTGTTACAATTACTACTTACGAATTCGATAATAAGTCAGATAGAAACACCGCGATTGTGCTCCAGACAATCCAAAGTATTGATATACTCTGCGATATAATTCTATCCATGCTTATTGGAAAATATAATGACGAATTGAAGAGTGCATCTTCTGCCTAAGTTTCAATTACTCGCATTTATTTTATCATAAAACTTTATTCACTTAATCATGTAATAATCAATTCCAAAACATATTGAATCTCAAGT